AGTCACAGGTTACACTCCCTTCGGCTCCATATTCCCGAACAAAGCGAGGAGTGAAGCACCGCCACCGAGAGTAGATGACCCCAAGCTGGTGGACATCGCTAAGAAATACAATAAAACTGTGCCTCAAATTGTTTTGAGATATCTGGTGAGTATAAAAAATACTAGTCATTGTTGAAAATTTAATCTTTGTTTTTATTTCAATGGACTTACGAGCAACGATTCGCCAAAAAATATACGAACCGACGCCCATAGACATCCGCAACGCCAGAGGAACCGCAAATGCGTTGCCACCCTTTAGTGTTTTTGTTTTTTATTTTGCTGCATTAATATCATCATCAGCTCACAATACGTCCCCACTGAGGAGCTCGGAGGCTACCCTAAGTTAAAGATGACTAGGCCATAGCCAACCACGCTGGCCCAGTGCGGATTGTTGAATACAAGTAATTAAAAAAAAATTATGCGAGGATATGTTACTTGCGATGAACGTAGCAGTAAGATGTTGGTTGTTTCATTCTCTATAAAAAAATAAAGTAGAAACACAAAACAAAATACTTCTGTTGTGTTTTTTACTTTTCTTTACCGTAATATTTCTCCAACTTTTTTCAGGTGGAACTGAACATAATACCTATTCCCAAAACGATAACCAAGTCTAGAGTGGAACAGAATATTGATATCTTCAATTTTAAACTAACGCAAGAAGAGCGGGATCTATTTAAAAGTTACGACACAAACTACAGAACTATCGAACCTAAGATGTGGCAAGAATCTCCGTATTACCCTTTTGAAATGAAATAAAAGCACACATTTATGAATTTTTCCCGCTATTCTAAATATCTTCGATGACGTATTAAATTCTTTACCTGTTCGACGACGCCCGCCTTTTATTTTATGTTAAATAAATATTGACTTATTTACATTATTGTACATACGTAGAATCCGAGCCTTGTATCACATTACCACTTTATAATAGAGAGCGGGATTTTTGATATATTTTTAAGCGTGATTAATAAATAAGGGGGAACGTTGTCAGTTGAAATTTAACAAATTATTCAAGGTAAGATTGATGATTAAATATCTGATAGCAAATACCAATGTAAACGTCGTAGAATGCGTCCAACAAAAAATAATAATTTGTATAGCCCTTCTCTTATGCAAGATAAAACACATACTTAAACTGGCCTTTGTTTCGTCTTATGATAAAAACAAGTAAGTAACTTATGCGTAGAGTCCGTAATGTGCCCTTACAAAACTCAAGCACGTAATGATCAAACAAGGATATCTGTCGTATAATGATTTTATTTACATTCATGACAATTCAATAGGCATTAACAGTGACGGAGATGTCTCCGCAATGTCTTGAGTATGTATGTGCAAACATTGAAAACCTATAAATATATTTCATAATTATTATTAATATCTGTATATTTGGCTTCGTATTTTGCACGAGGTTAATTTGTAAAGAAGAAATGGTTGATGTTTACATAACCAATCGAGTTATTAACATTTCCTTATCCTTTGTTCATTGTCCTTTTACTTTGTTTCTTTGCTATTCTTACTACAATGGAAAACTATTTCCGTTCCGTCGTCTTTAGATCAACGATTAGATGTTTTTTATTTTACGTGAAGCAGAAACTTTTGGTACAAAGAACATGATTTTGTCATTCTACCAGCCAATTCATGCTTTATCTGGTCCTAATGGTCTTGTAACTAGATTATAAAATCTTTATAACTTCAATGACCTAAGAAATAGTTACGTGATGTCTTACTAGAAAGATTTGTGATTTTTAATAAAATCAAAACAACAAATACGAATAATTTAAGTTACCTGTTTACACGATATCCCCTACTACTAGTATTCTTATTTAACAAGTTATTTTACCAAGAAATTTAATATATTCTATTTTATAATATTATGCATTACGTTCGTTATGTTCTTTTTTACGCATACCGCAAATAATCTTCCCGTAAGTTTCCACTGCCAGAAACGTCCGTACAAAAACATCTTTATTTCTATTTTTCCAAAGAAAATGAGATAAAGAAATATTGTTATTTTTGATTTTGATTTTAGAAAGTCAGTTTCCATTTAGAGGTGCAATATTTATGATAAGTAATTAATGAAATAATTTGTGATCAACCTCACTCGATTCTCGATAACGAGTTATCATAACCTGTGTTAGGGGTTGAGGTCATTGTCGCGAAGCTATTAGTGAACGCCGCGTCTACATCTCAAGCTGACGTTATGTGGGACAAAATTGTTGTTTTATTTATATTTTCTACAACAATCACCTTTTCTGTAAGTATTACCGCATTTTTAAATGTTATTGATTATTTTTTATTTTACAGACACATCGTTTTTCGGTTTATATTAGCTGTGGCGTACATGAATATTAGGCGCGAAATAACGACGTTTTTATTTTTAGGAATTCCTTAGTTGTTGCGATTTATTTCCTTATCGTATTTATTCTTTGCTTGACGTATACATATATCTAAATAAGTACACATTTTTTGATTACTATTCATCTTAAAATGGTCATAATTATGCAAGAGTATTAAATTCTCTTGTTAGCGATATAAAAATTTATATTACCTTAACGTTTCTCATTAACGGTGATAAGCTGATTATTAAATAAACAATAGAAGATGTAATTAGTTTAGTTTAAACAAATGTTTATAATAACATTAACATACACACCAAAAGCATCGCAAACAGGAACTTAATTTTATGTTAATTAATTTTGTATTAAAATTTTTAGAATGGCAACATCCTAGCTCCGAAATTAAAACTAAACGATGGTAGGGAAATTCCCGCCTTAGCTCTGGGAACATGGCTGGGGAATAATACCAAGGTACTTATCAACTTTTTCTAGCAAATTACATTTTTTTTCCAATTAACCACAGTTATGTTATTTTAAAACTGGACATCTATCCATACCAACTCCCATCATTCCACCGGGTATTTCGCAACTGTAATGCTTACTACTTAGTCCGCTGGCCCTTGTGGTGTCTTACCCCCGTCACAAGAGATTTCTAACAGTGCCTATCCTAATGTTAGATTCATATTTATTTTTCAAATATCTTAATGTCAAGCCTATATAAGTAAATAAACATTTATTTTCCAACATGGCCGCGTTGAGCCGTCATCAAACGAAGTGGAGCTGGCGGTGCAATGGGCAATAGAAGCGGGTTACCGCCACATCGACACAGCTTGGGCTTACAAAATCGAAGACCAGGTCGGCAGGGGACTTGCTAAAAAGTTCCCAGATGTGCCAAGGAACGAAATATTCGTTACCACTAAGGTAAGTAATTAACACGTTCAATGGCACAAAGGAAGAGTAATTAAGAGATTAACCGATGTTGATTTGGCTCAATCCTGATAAACCTCTCGCTTTTTAAAAAAAGTTGCAAATTGGGAAGTTTCTCTATTTCTTATCTATTTTTTACAGACGTCTTTCATAACGTTCTCATTTTTTTTTAATTTTTAAACGATAATATTTAATAGCAATTCGTATAAAACTCTTGCAGCTATGGAATGATCGTCACGCGCGGGACGCAGTTGTCCCAGCTCTCCGAGAATCTCTAGAGAAACTGAGCTTGGACTACGTCGACCTTTACCTCATTCACTGGCCAGTCGGACAGTTCGTGAGTTATTTAAACTAAGATATACGTATAAATACTAACTAACCTTATCCGTATGGATGGGAAAAAGACAGAGAAACTCGTATTTTCTTTATTTGTCTATTAAAAAATGAAGTTATAACGTATAAGCAGATCTAAACATCATAATGTGTCTTTCTAGGTCAATCTAACCTATGACCTGACTGATTATCTGGAGACTTGGCGCGGTATGATGGATGCTAAAGAGCTGGGGCTCGCTAAATCTATAGGCCTGTCTAACTTCAACGAGCAAATGATTGATAGAATCATCGAAAACGGATTGGAGATGCCGGCAGTGCTGCAAGTTGAGGTTCGTATAAAAAAAAAACGAAACAAGAAGAGCTCCACACATGAAGTTCTACCGTACCTTAAATACCTCATATTCTATCAGGAAATTAAACAAACTTAAGTATTAAGGATTCGTATAATGTTGTCATTATCAAAAATCTTAATTTTTTTTACAGCTAAACTTAAATCTACAGCAACCGGAATTACTAAAGTATTGTAAAGAAAAAAATATCATAGTCATGGGCTACACGCCTTTCGGCTCATTATTCTACAGCAAAGCAAAACCAAATGCCCCACCCCCTCGTGTCGACGATCCTACTTTGGTGAAAATCGCCGAAAAATATAATAAAACTGTGCCACAAATCACGCTAAGATATCTGGTAATTATTATTCTTATAACACAGTTCTTGTTGTTGTATCTTATAAGCAAAAGTTTTAAATTTTGTTTCATTCAAAATTATCATAATGTTTAAAAATTACTATTGCAGATCGAACTGGGCGTTATTCCTATACCGAAGTCATTGACAAAATCAAGAATAGAACAGAACATCGATGTATTCGACTTTAAGTTAACGCAAGAAGAAAAATCGATTTTAAAATCGTTTGACCGCGAATATAGGACTATTCCCCAACTAAAATGGTTGAATAATCCCTATTATCCTTTTAAAAGACCACTTATGTAGCAGAGGTACCGACGAAATAAAGGTGTATAAAGTATAAACCAAACTAAACTTTTATTTCTGTGATATTTAATAGAAATAGCCAGATTAGCGTAAACTTAATAATTTGTTGAAAAATGTGTGAAAGAGGATATGCTTAAGAAGGGAGGAAGTGAATGAATTTAGATGTTACGACTGATAGAGACTGATCTATGAACGAGTAAAAATACATACTATGCTGACCCTCCTTAGGTTGATGATGATGATGGTTAACCATCATGGTTCAAAACACGATTGTAAAAAAAAACATGATTTCTGTAAACTTTTGAAACGTTTTAGTGATTTCGATAAATGGCAATACTAATCACGAGCAATCGACTTGACACTTTTGACTTGCTTTTGACAATTGATATTTGACATAAATTCGCGAGCCGTGTGCGATCTATACCGTGAACATGTCTTCGACAAAATTAAGTTTATTAATATGTACGGTGCTTAGTGTAATTTTTAGTATAAACACTCAAACAGTACACAAGCGATTTGAGTATAAATATTCGTTTAAACCACCATATTTAGCTCAAAAAGATGGAACGGTTCCGTTTTGGGAGTACGGTGGCAGTAAGTACATTTTCTTCTTGTTTCTTCAGCTAAAAATTCTCTATACAAAATTTCTATAGCATTCTATTGCTTAGTAAGTAAATAATTTGTTCATTAAGTTGTATTTTTTATGTTATAAAAATTGCATTTTCGGTAAAAATCCCTTGTTGTTAAGGTAGTTTTAATTGACATCGACACGTCAGTGAAATCTGTCAAATTAGAGCGAGATGGGCTTATATGTCTTGATCTTGTAAGAAAGTGACAAAAGGATGGCTTCCGATTCTTGTTTTTAGTTCCACGACAGCATTCAGTTTGGTTACGGTTGATGTTAATATAAATTAAAGATGTTAACAATAAAATAATAAAAGAAAAGAAAAGGTTACAAAAATATACATGCTGCATTTTCTCATTCTACTTTAAATGATTAGATTCTCGTAATTTATTCACTAAGATATTTCTTTTGCAAAATGTACCAATTATGTTCAATAGATTGAACCTAATGAATTGCCTGAACTAGTTTTTAATGTCCACATTTATTAAATATTCAGAACGAAATTGCTCTTGAAATTTATATATCTATAGCCCCTTGCTATTTTTTGTAGTTCACTCAATATTATTTGAGTGTAACTTGCAGTTTAACTTAATATAACAATTGAATTTTTGTTAACATTGCATTTTAATGAGGTTAACGTGATTCACTTCACTGATTTGTATATGTAATAATGCATTACAGTAATATTGCTTTTCTGCCTAATTATTTATTATCATCACTACATCAGCATGACACATATAAAATTATATGACTATAATTAAATGTCCATGCATATGGCTTTGCGATTTTAGTTTTTAACTAACTTAAAAGTCAGATGTTCATAGACTTGCATCTATGCGCTATCACGCAGTAATAAGGATATCAAGTGACCCAATCTGTTTTATAAAGCTCTATAAGAAAAGATGGCAGATATATTTCTTTTACCTTTGGCATTTCATACACTTCCCTGTAAGATAAATTTCACAATTCAATGTCATTTTGATATGTATTATAAAATTAATACAAATGTTATCTCAACATTTTGAAAACTGATACAGTAATTGTAAATACATATGGCATTTTATTGGTAGCATTTGAACATATCAGTAGCGTATGGATAATATGTTGATAAAAGTCATAAATAATGAGCTATTTATCAATGATCTGAACATATGTTGTAATTAATATATTTACATCAATCAGTATAAAGATTATTGTATTTAGTTAAAGCATTTTAACAATTGAATCCACCTGTATATCAGATGTTCACTCAGAGTTAGAAAGTACAGTCCTATTAGGGTTTAATAAGAAATATCTTCACTAAGGTTGACTTATGTAAGTTTTAAATGACTTGAGTGGGCACTTGGTAAATATTATTGGGATTTCCTGTGGGCCCGATTGACCTACCGATCGATCTGCCCAATGAGAAAAAAAATTCCTATTGTACTAAAAGATTCTATTGATTTTTATCAGTCCAATAGGAAAAATATTCCCATTGGGCCTATCACAATTCACCCCTTTTTGATAAAACAAGAACTGGATACAATCTGAACAAATGATATATTTTTAAAACCATTACTGTTAAAAATATACTCTGCATTATCAAATTAAAACATTAATGGTAGAATGACATTTAATTCACCTTTTAATGTATAAATCTGGTAACATTTCAAATATTTACATTTCATTTAAGACTTTGACTAATTTTATATGCAACGGTGTGTGAATGTCTTGATAAGTGAAATATATAAGTGTAATCGTTCACATCAATTCGTTTTGCATGACTTCATTTGTGAGTCTACAAAAAGATTTTTAGTTTCATTTGATTTATATCATTAAATGGAGAGTAATAGGTTTACTAACCAATACTTTTTAAATTATTAACTAGTTTTTTTTAATATCTAAAATAATACAATTTGTGTATAGATGCGATAGCGTCAGGCGAAAGTGTCAGATTAGCGCCGTCACTGCGCAGTCAAAAGGGTGCGATATGGACCAAGCAGCCGATCAACTTCGACTGGTGGGAGGTGGATGTCATGTTCAAGGTCACCGGCAGAGGAAGAATAGGAGCTGACGGTTTGGTTAGTGAAGCATTCAGCTAATTTTTCTAATGAACTTGAATTAATATAAAGACAATTATATTAGTCTCTTTTCTCTTATTAATATTATTGGATGGATGGATCGATGTTTGTTAGAAAGTATAACCAGAACGGCTGCATGAATGTCACTGAAATTAGACATAGATGTAGAATATTGAGCAATTACAAATATATTACAAGTTTAAGTTACAAATAAGTACTGTTTAAGTAATGAAAATATTTTTCCAGGCGTTCTGGTACACGACGCAGCGTGGTGACTACAACGGTGATGTGTTTGGGTCATCAGATCGCTGGAATGGACTGGCCATCATGTTTGATTCCTTCGACAATGATAATAAACACAACAATCCATATATCATGGCGGTTGTTAACGATGGCACAAAGAACTTTGATCACAAGAGGTGAGCAAATACTTGGCGGCTAGATCGTTTTACCTATATCATACTTTTAACTATCTTACCTCTTAGTAATATTATAAATGCAAATGTTTGGATTAGTTAGAAGGTAGGCGTAGATGTAGAACATAGTTTGGAATAACATAACATAAGAACGGCTACTAATTAAGACTTTTTTATCGCGATACGGCCGACGAGTCACGGGCAACAGCTAATAATATTATAAATGCGAAACTCTGGATGGATGGATGTTTGGTTATCACGTATCTACAAAAAGTCTAATGTATCACAATGAAATTTGGCACAGATGTAGAACATAGTCTTGTAGAACACATACTTAGTAAGTTTTTATTTTAATACAGTGCGGATGAGGTCGCAGCCAAAAGCTATTAAGATTGAATTAAATGTTACAGAATAATGAAAATGCACATAAATGTCACACTGTGCATAATTTTCCAAAGACAAAATGCATTTTACATCTGTATTTTACATGAGACGGGTGCATTAAAACTTTTTTCCTTTTTTTTTTTAAATTTGCAAATTTAGATAACATCATAGACTCTATGAAGTATGTTATTAATAGATATGTTAATCCATTCAAGATAAAGTAATGAGATGTAAATGACCTATTAATTTGAAATTATTATATTTATTTTATTTTTGATAAAAAGTTAAGTAAATAAGGATTCAAATTTACATATAAATAATGCACTATTCGGTATAAAGTACTAACTTCTATACATGTATTTATCTATATATATATATATATAAGAAAGTCGTGTTACTTACACTATTTATATCTCAAGAACGGCTTTACCTATACAGCTGAAAATTGGTGAGGAGGTAGCTGAACGCTAGGAGACGGACATAAGATATTATTTATTAATTTTTTTTTCGATTATATGCCTTGAAGAGCTGCTTTTTATTTAACTTACTTATATTATACATGCGAATGTTTAGATAGGTGTGATGTGGATGGATGGATGGGTGTTTGAAGATATCTCTAGAACAGATGACCGGATCTTGATTAAATTTGGCATACATATAGAACATAGCCTGAAAGCCCACATAAGCCCTAATTAAGTTTTTTTTATATATCCATGCGGAGGGAGTTGCGGGCGACAGCTAGTTTATTAGTAATTTTACTTATTACTAGTTAAATGAGACATCTCCTATCTAAATAATTATTTTGAGACATCTTAGAAACTGCTTCGACGACGACCAATTGTAATTTAAACAAGGCATATGGTTTGTTTTGTTGTTGTCAAACAAATCAATGTTTGGTGAAATCTGGATTTTATTTTCGCGTTTTTTTTTATCTTATGTGTTGCACTTGTCTTTGGTTCTTTCGCTTTCGAGGTTATATAGTTTTATTCTATTTTAATATGTTTGTGAAAAAAATAAAATCATTGTTTATTTTGCAGTGATGGATCAACACAATTGCTATCAGGCTGCCTGCGAGACTTCCGTAACAAGCCGTTCCCGACTCGCGCCCGTATTGAATACTACCTCAACACACTTACTGTATACTTCCACAATGGTTAGTATAATTAATATACGCTTTTTATCAAAAAAAAATTGTAAAACAAATTACGGCAAGATATTTTTTAATATAGAAAAGCATCAGAGAAGTAAATAAAAAAAAACATAAAACAATTTTTGTTTAATATTTTCGCGCTTTAAATGTTTCTCATAACTATAATATCATTACGTCATTTTATATCAATACAACAATAATTCATTCCTAAATAAAATACAACAAACGAGTCATCAAAAATGAGCTTTATTTTCCAGCAAAATAAAGTATAAATTCCTTTAACAGGCCTGTTATTGGCATACATATGTAAAATGTTTGTGTGATTTTTGTTTTTCTGCTATTTTTATATGTATGCTGTTGGCCTGTCTTAATAAATAAATAACAAAAAATGCATTCATATCTAATTAAAAATGAACCTTATTCCTTAGCAACTAAAGTATAAATTGCATTAACAGGTATGACGAACAACGAGGCGGACTACGAGCTGTGTTTCCGTGCGGAGAACGTAGCATTACCTCGCGGCGGTTACTTCGGTCTGTCCGCAGCCACGGGCGGGCTGGCTGATGACCATGATGTTATACATCTGCTCACCTCCTCATTACACAGCACGCAGCAACAAGGTCAGATATACCTTAACTAGCTGTCGCCCTCGACACCGTTCGCACGGAATTAAAAAAATATATAATTAGTAGCATATATGTTCTTCCAGACTATCTATATATGTAAAATTTTAGTGAGATCCATGCACTTGGTCTGGAGATATCTTCTAACATAATATATCCATATATTCACATTTATAATATTAGTAAGATTTTATTAATTTCTTAGTATAAAGAGCTAAAAAGCCAAAAAAAAAAATCAAGAATGATTAAAAAAAAAATTTCGCATCCCATTCTAAAATTACAAGAATTTGTATTTTTGAGAAAGACAAGAGTAAATATGACGTCTAAAAGTTGATTTGTAACTTGCAGGCGGTCAACAGATCAGCAACGACGAGCAACAGAAGCTGTCGCAGGAGTACCAGGAGTACCAGAAGAAGTTGGAGCAGCAGAAGACTGACTACAGGAAGGAGCATCCTGATGAGGTAAGTCGTTACATAAACATCCTTTATTCTTATATTAGTAATAAATAAATTTCAAAAGGAAGTAGACTTTTTTCACAACTTTTGGCATTAAAAATATGTATATTTAATAATGGGCTTGTACTGAAAAAGAAATGTTACTAACCCCTGTTTAAGATTGTTCTGTAAACATGTTTCTACAATTTCTTTTTAATTTATTAAAGTACTTACTAGCTTTTGACCTTGACTTTGTCCTAGCTTTATTTTAAAAAAAATAGTAGAGAACACAGCCTGGAAGAACATAGGTATGTGTTCTTATAAACTGTATCCTATCATCATAATAATCAGCCTAAATTTGTCCACTGCTGGACGAAGGCCTCCTGTATCTATACCAAATTTCATCCAGATCCGTTAAATCGTTCTGGAAATACCTTCAAATATCCATCCATCAATTTTAACATTCATACTATTAGTAAGATATAGTAAATAAGTATATTATATGATTTGATACATTAAAAATGTTAATATTATAATTTGACATCATGTTTTCATATATAAATATTCAGGTGCGCGACAAAGATGGCGAATTCGACGACTGGTTCGAGTCTGACGGTCAGCGCGAGCTGCGACAGATCTTCCAGGGTCAAGGGCAAATACACGACATACTCAGGGACCTCAACAAGAAAGTTGACGAGGTAAAAAATTAATTGACTTAATCAATAGATCCTAATGGTAATTAAGTGATACTAAAATATTGATTAAATACGAAAATAATAAATTAAATTGTGTCTAAAAATCGTAATTTTATAAGATAAGCACTTTTTAGGGAAGATTCTTATTTAAATTCAAGATTCATAGTTGAAACGTTTGTTTGTGTTAAATTTCATCCGGCTAGAAGGACCAACAAACTTGTTACTGTTTGCAGGTGATCGGGAAGCAGATGAACTCGCTATCAATGTTGACAGCAGTGTACAGTCAGTCACAAGGACAACCCATACAGCCCGGACAAGCTCCCATGCAGGTATTGCCTAATTATACCCTAGCTGTGGCCCACGACTCTGTCCACCCGGAATTAAAAGAAAACGTTGGCTACATGTGTTCTTCCAGACTATATGTATGCCAAATTTCTGCGAGATCCGTTCAGCCGTTTTAGAGATACCTTCAAACATCCATCCATCCATCTTAACATTCGCATTTATAATATTAGTAAGATTAAAATTGTCAATAAATTACCATAAAAAAAATTAATGGTATTTTTTAGATGCCAGCTCTACCGATCGGGCGACAGGACTGGGACGCACTGGTCGCTAATAACCAGTTGATGATAAACACTATTGCTGAACTCAAGTAAGTTTTTTTTAGTAAAATATTAGTAGATTTTTGTCAATTACTAATATTCCTTGTACCATTCCATCTAAGCTCTATGCTTGTGCTAGAATATGGTGGACGACAATAGTGAATGACGGGATTCGAACTCTAGACCGCACGATTAGTAATCCGTACCCCTCCACCTTTTAATTAACAAAACATAATTTTTTTATTTTACTTATCTGGTGCATGTTCTTATTTCCAGAGGTTTCATAATTGACGTGTCTCGTAAATCTGACTCGTTGCTGGCGATGGGCGGAGCAGGGGGCGGGGCTGGCGGCGCGGCGGGCGGGGCAGCCATCAACCCGCAGTTCCTCAACGAGATGAGGGACAATGTCAATCAGGTTAAACAGGCTGTTAATGGAGTCGCACAAAGGTAATTATAGTTCAACAAATATTATAATCGATAATCGTCAGTACCAGTGGCAAGTTCAATTTCATGCAAGAATATTAGAGGTTATTAAGATTATAGCGAGAAGACCATAACAAATTAGGTTCAAATTTGGTCTTTCAGGTTCTTATACTAGTATGATATATATGCTTGCAAAACTAACATGCTAATTCCTCGTTCCAGGCTAAGCCAAGCCCCCCAGATCGCAGCACAGTCTTCCTGTCCTGATGTGTCGTGTGTGGGCACAACCACACTGCTGCTGGTCGTCGCCGCACAACTCACCCTCATGTTCCTCTACACCTTATACAAGTATGTACTATTGAACTAGATGGCGCTGCTGGCGTTTTAGAATGCCGTATAGAGATTCGCTTTCTCTTATATTTTTGGTATATCTGTTACTAGCTGTCTCCTGCGACTCTGTCCGCGTGGAATTAAAGAAAACTTAATTAGTAGCCTATGTATTCTTCCGGACTATGTTCTACATCTATGCCAAATTTCAGCGAGATCCATGCAGCCTTTCTGGATATAGCTTCAAACATCCATCTATCCAAACATTCGCTATTATAAAATTAGTAAGATTGTTCAATAGATTTTTGAGCCAACTCGTGTAATCCTTAATTTATTAAATAATTCATAATTCTTAAAAAATTATGTTTAAAATTAAAAAAAAAGTGTTATGGCTTTAAAAGGCGTGAGTTGATTTCTCAATTTTTTTTTTCAGAGAAAGAAAAGAAGCACAAGCAAAGAAATTCTTCTAAGTCGTGCGTAGAATGTAACATTGTTGAATTCACAGTACTTGTAAATAACAAGAGCAAAATTGCCAAATACCCTCAAAATTCTTTCACTAGTTGTAATAAATGTCACAAATTAATACACAAAAACTATTTAATGTGTAATTAACTAACAATTTGTACTTAAATTGTGTAAAAAATATATATGTGAAGCACAAAGTTAACAAAAATTAATGTCAATATTAATCGTATTATATTTTAATAGAATTAAGGTTAAAAGAAATGATTCGTTGCCAGGTCTACAAAATACTCCAAAAAAATATTTAGAAAACTACAGGGTAAATAAAAGACATATTATATGTACCAATAATTTATTATGTATTTTGAAATATATATCTATCTAGTTAGTGTTTTCATATCGTTATTTTTCTATATATCTATTGCTTATAGTCTGATAAGAAATATTCTGTCTCAAAATAAAGAGGTAAGTGATTTCTAATCTTTAACCAATTAAATATACTCATACATATTTTTATTTTTTTACTTTTTAGTTATTTACGAACAGTTTCTAAATCATAAAAAGTCTTTATCTAAATGGTTTTTTTTAATATGAGACCTGGCTGCGTTTCAAAAGATACGGTAGTTGTACGATATGTACAAAATTTTTAGTCATAATTTTGTGTCAAAAAAACAGATAACGTTTGTCGTCTAACCGAGAGTCGATGTTCAAATTGCCCAACAAAAGTATCTATATGTATTATCTATGTATTTAAATATATCTAAATTAATTAAAAATTAGTTTATAAAACAAGTCATGTCAGCTGTGTGAAGTTAGCAGCAAATCGTTGCGCTAATTTCGAAACTTGCTATCTCTCTCGCACGTACCAGTCTCGATCCTCCATCTCGCTCTTATAAAACTGCACTTACTACCGCAGCTAACTTCAGACACAAAAACATGGAATGTGTAACTAATCGTGAAATTGCACTGCCGAAACACTTTCATAAAGAGAATGAAGAAAACAACATGTTTTTATACATGTGTTTCGACAGTGGAAATCCACAGTTAATATATGAGTAATGTGAATTTAACAATAGATTATTATTTTTTTACCAATAATGTGAGTGTGTATGGATAAGTGAAATTATATGATTCCTGTACATAAATTATATTTATAGTTTTTCTCTGTTTAGTAAATTTTACTATATGTGAGCGGATCGTTTCATTGTCAACTAGGAACACCTGTTTACCTTTCAAATTTAATATCGATGTTCGTGCATTTCTTTTGTGTAGAAAGTGATTGACGTTAAATTTTATAATTATATGTTTTTTTTCTACAACAATACTTTTATTTGACATTATTACAAACAATTTTATCCTGAAATAAAGTTTGAATTTTGCAAGCGGAATATTTTTTCAATGGGCGCTTAGAATTTTAAATAAAGTAAATAAATGATCAAGCTTTGTATTATGTACCGTTTATTTTATTTAATCTTAAAAACGTAACATACAGCAATATAAAAATTAAATCGTAACCTATTTACAACTGTAAAATTTTTTATTACAAAAAATATTTAACAATTAATTAAAACATAAGTTTTAAAATGACTGATACAAAAAACATTTAATTTCTACATATAGTAAATAAATACAACAAATTTACGCGTAATTAATGTCTTGTAAAATTTTGTACATACGCTTCAATATTGGACAGCGCCATCTAGCGATTCTGCAATGTCAAGTTTACGCACTCATTGTGAGTTTAAAATTTTTTATCAAAATTTTACCAATGTGTAAATTTATAGTCATGAAAACTCACAGCCAAATACGAAAAACATAAAAAAAATTGACATAAATATTACAAAAATGGACATTCGATTCTAAAATTATAAGATATTACGACAGTAAAATGTTTTGGCAAACAATTCTAACATTTTTTAACTAGTACAGGTCAATAATAATTTTATATTCATGAAAATTGTTATATATTCTCGGATGTTAGAAACAAATCCACGTCTTTTAAATGTCATACCGATTAGTTTAGCTGCTTTTATGTCATTGACACAAACAAAAAATAATTATAAATAATTTATTTATATGATTACCAACACATTAAATGCCACTAAGATTTAGACACAAATTGTATCGAGTAAGTGGCACTGAATGTGTTAATAAAAAAAATTGACAACTTTGTGGTCATTCCAACTGTATAAAATCACTATTGACATGTTATATTTGTTTTTTCAAAGAGAATAATAATGACAAAATGACGTATTAAAACAAGTCACGTCAGTCAAAACACATTTTTAAATATAACTTCGTACAATAGTGTACACTAACATCCTAAACATTGCTCTCAAAATAATGATAAGCATTTTTATACTACAATAGACTTAATATTTTTTTTTTAATTGGTGTTCAAGATAACATTTATTTGTCAATATTCCTCTTACTAATATTTCTAATGAGAAAAATTGAGCTATTTTTTTTTTAATTTATATGAAACATATATTTTTATCAACTTGAGTTGTAAGGCGATTAAACAAGTTAAAGATTTTAATTCAGATTTTTTTAAAAGTTATAACCATAGCGACAAAATTAATTACATGTATATAAATGTATTATATATAAACAAAGTTGTCATGTAAAAACAAAAAGGCAAAAAAAAACATGACATTTTAGGATTGATATTTAAACTTTCATCTTAAATTTATAACAAATAGCCATTCTTATAGTTATTTGTCATCTACATCACATCTAATGTCTTACAGTAGGTTTCTGAGACCAAAACACGTATAAAACAATGCTATCTCTGTTTTGTCAAAGATAATGATAAGGATGACCATATGTTTCATACTGAGATTTCGGTCTCAGAAACCCACAGTTAGTCTAACATCAAATACTATCTACGGCAGTGTTTTATTCGTCAAAAGATGTCGTTGAAATTAATCCCACTTTATTCTATAGCATTTTATTAGAAGTTACAGTAATATAGTAATTCAAACAGAATGTCCAATATGACCAATTTGACCAAACGTTTGGCACATGTTTGCCAAACTTTGTACTTTTATTACTGGCTACATCTACTTTCAATTAATTCTATTTGTACAGTAAAAATTACAATACTATGGTGTTATCCAAGGCAGCCATTTTCTTAATTATGTTATTAAACATAACTTTAATTGAAGCCACAAATTGATTCATTAATTGTAATTGACTCCTATACCAAGTATATGAAGAAAAAACATTTTGTCGATTTAGATTTTGTCTAACATAATATTAGTTAAAATGCCATCTATCGGTCATGTTGTGAAAATAACTGTCATTTTATACCGGACTGTTTTACCGACAGCCATATAACACAAAAATTTTCGAGTTAGTTAATTAATTTAAGTCGAATTTAGTTATAGTTTTTAAAGTTTTTGTCACATTTGTTTAATTATAAAGACTCAATTTCAGATAACTTTTACATCTCATACACAAATGCGCCGAGTTTTCAGATTGTCAAGTATTGACTTAGATTTTTAGTTACCATAAAAGACTTCATCCTGCTCAACTCCAGTCTTAAAATGGCGACTTTAGTATGAATTTCGCATGGATACACTAAAAATGACCTTTAGTGACCAATTAACGATTCGGGCCGCTTTACGTTGAAAGCGTTTTTCTTCAAAATCTAGGCAACAGGCTCATAGTCCATGTCTCCGCAATACTCCGCTAGGAAGTCCAGGAACAGCGTAAACTTGCCAGTAGCGGCGCGCGACCACCGAGACGACACAGACTTCATGCAAGTCGACAGACTCTCTAGAATATTCTGTAACAAAACGATAACTTGAAATAGTAATCTTCCTACTAATAAATGCGAATGTTTAGATGGATGGATGTTTATTTGAAGGTATCTACAAAACGACTGAACAGATCTCGATGAAGTTTGATATGGATATAGAAAATAGTCTAGAAGAATACGTAGGCTAATTAAGTTTTTTTTTTTGAATTCCGCGCAGACGGCATTGCGGCCACAACTAGTTTAAAACAACTGTCAGACAAAAGAGGTGTAAATGAATTTACCTGCGGCCAATCCTGTCTATACACAGCGAGACACTGCTCAGTGAGAGAGTCCTCACTTAAATAGTCATTCTTCAATAAAAATACGAGAACTGTCGCCAGCGCCTGCCACACCTCACTAGCAATGCATCGAGACTCGCTCAGTAACACTATGTTCCGTGGACACAACACGCGGTCGAATGTTTTCAGTAGTGGGTTCTCTTCCTGACGGTCAGTCTTTGATTGATCTAAAGATGCTGTAATTGTAAATATTTTATTTTAATATAACATAGAACAGAGAATCCTGGATAAGTGACTCCTCCTTTGTAGTCTCTATTACCTAGGTTTGACTATATTTGAAAAATATTTCACTAAACTAAGTTTGACTTTGATTTTTAAACCATAACGAAATAAATACAGTCAACTTTGGATAAGCGAAGCCGTGGAACAGTAATTACATATTTTTCTCGCATATTAACTTTCAAACCTCAGTTTCTCGCTTAGGAAGGTCGTCGGGACCGGGTAATAATTCTCGCTTATAGAGGTTTCTCGCTTATCCGAGTTTGTTAGTAAATATAAAATTAAAAAGAAATTGCCGATGAATAATAAGAGAAGTTCATTTCGAATACATTAATGACTTACTATTCTTAACTTCTGCGCTAGAATTGATGTCCACAACAACGACAATTTTCTCCATATTAATATTAGCGCCATCTATATTTTGTTCAGCTTCATCATCACTAAGCGGCGTGGGTGCTCGCTCATCGTCATCAAAGTTTCGGAACTGTGGTGATAACTCCGACCTTCTTTCAGGTAACAATATTTCTTGAGGGGCTTGTTTTATTCTGTCAGGACAACACGTGTTCCAAATAACGTGCAATTTGTTTAGGAACGCATCATTCACTTGCTCTGGTTTTCGACTCACTGTGGAAATTATACAGTTTTTTAACAATACTATAAATAATCCAAAAATTAGACATATTGCACTCGCTCCGAAGCGATTCCTAACGAACTTCAAAAATGTATGGAACTGACAATAACTTTCGATAAGTTAATTGATGGTCGCGCGTCAGTTCCATACAATTTTAAAGTTCGCTATGAAATCGCTTCGTTGTGAATTCATTTTGTCTGACCCCTCAGAATTAGCAATTCTAAATTCTAAGCACAAAAAAAATAGCACAGCACCATCTATCGAATCTGATATAAAATACGATTTAATGACAGCGCCATCTATTGGCTCTGCGATGAGATTAAATGTAGAAAGGAAAATTAGTAAGACACTGTTTTAATTAAATTTCTATAAGAAAGACATCATAAATACAATAATAAATCTTACCAAATACGATACAGTAATCAACACTGAGCTGCAGCAGGGCGCGCTGTGTGGGCGGACGATTGAATATGTTCGTTGGTGAACAGGCCAACGCACACAATGCTAGTAATGACGTCGCATCTGGCACCTCATCGTAGTCCAATAGCAAACATACATGTTCCTGGTGAACGAATGAATGATTCACTAACTTTTTCATTAACACTAAAAAAAATTAAGGCAAAAAAAGACAGTGAAGATTTTTTTGTCATAAAAAAGTGTTTTTTAAATTAAAATCCAGCGACATCTGTAAAATATAATAGTTGTGGCCATATTTACGTATATTCATTAACCTTACTGAATTATTCGATATTCGGTTTCGGATTCGGTATTGAAATTTCAACCTTAACTACTTACTTTAAGGTTGATAACCGCAGACGCAGGACTGACGTGTATAGCATCAAACTTGTCATCGGGCAGCAACATGTCGGCGAGGTCTAGGGGTGTGGCCGGGGCGGTCGTCGCCACTGCCTCTCCTATCACTTGCAATGTCTTCATCTCTTGCTGGATGTCCTTGCAGAGAACAGCTGCAGGTTGATTAACTTTTAGATTATCTGTAGCACTAAATTTTAAATAGTAAGCAACCTTTCGTGTTTTGTGAGAGATTCATCATTAGCTCATACGTCTCTACTGTAGGCTCGGAGCCTACCCTATTAGGGGTGACTATTCCATAGTCAATGCTGGCCCAGTGCGGGTTGACTTCACATATCCTTGAATTTCTTTGCAGATATGTGCAGTATCACGATGTTTTCCTTCACAGTAAGCACGTCAAAGAAATATATATCGGTATATGGCGGGATTCGAACCCAGGACATGCAAATTGCAAGTCAAGTGCTTAACCCCTGAGCCATGGACGCTCTAAAAGAAATCTAAGAGAGATTACTTTTCAGAAATGCATTTAACACAATCTTAGAGATACTTTCAGCCCGTGCTGTTACTTTATAACAGACCTGTAGTACTCCAGTTGTCATTAAGCCACTTATTCAATCTGTTGACGCAGCCTTTAACAGCGAGAGACAGGAGGGGCGAAGGCGCCGCGGGCAGTAGAGCCGCCAGCGCAGCGCCCGCGCGACGTTTGATGGATGCCGTGCCTACAGATAAGGCTTCGCACCGCAGCTGCTGCAGCTCCGCGTTATATAGCGCCTCTAAGGATTTGAGGAGAGCTCCCTGAAATTTTTTTTAGTTTAATGTCGCTTAGTGGAAAAGTACTTTAACATCAGTGGAAAACGACCTTTAACATTAGTGGAAAAGGGCCTTTATTGTTACTGTAAAAATACATTTAATATTAGTGGAAAGGTATTCTTAACGTTAGTAGAAAAGGACCTTAAGCGTTAGTGGAAAAGGGCCTTAGAGGTAACTTACGGTATCTTCACAGATACTATTGTTGACCAGTGTGCAGGCCTTGTCGCGCGCGCTGGTCCGGCACTGCGCCAGCAGGTGTGCCGCGAGCTCCTTCACAGCACCCGACGTGACGCGCTCCATCACCAGCTCCAACACGCGCCGGCTTGATGAAGGCTGAGTCTTCAGGAACTCTTCTTCTAAACGTGCCTGAATAACAGTTGCCATTAAAACATCTGACGAATGATAAAGGGCAAATAAAACTTTTTGAACACAATATTGCCAGTATCTTCGTTGTTTAACTTTTAATACATCCAGTAATTCAAATAACTTCATTCAAAATTTTTTGCTATTTTATCTATGACTGAATATAAAAAAATTAATTACTAGAATATTTGTTCTTTCAGACTATGTTCTACATCTGTGGCTTCATGTGTTATCTGTTTTATGGTTCTGGATATACATATCAACAAAAACCTATCCATCCAATCTTTCATATCTGTGGTAAATATTGACATTACCTGTAATTCTTTTTCTTTATTTCTCATACGGTCTTCCATATTCAGACTCAAACTGACAGGCGTGATGTGTCTAAAACTTCCAATGTCTTTCTGATCGTGTGACACTTTACAAGTCGACAGTAACACGTTGACATCTTTTAATATCGGGCATAATTCAAATAAAACTATTTCATCAATTAAATCGTAATAATCTATGGCGTTTTCACTGGCAACACTGACATTACAAGTTTTACTCTCATAGAAAAATTCTTGAGGGAAATGTGGCAAATCGAATAACCATCCTAAAATCGATTTCAAAAATATCACTGTGTTCTTTTTTAATAAACTTATCGGATGAATTTTTAATTTCATTTCATATATATTGAATAGTAGCTTTAGTAGGTTTTGGTAGTATTTTATACGCAACGTCGTGTAGTCAAGCATCGATAAATAATGTACAATCCACGGTACTGTGATGCATAGACGACCATTTTCATCGGAATTTATTAATATTCCTTTTAAATCAATTGAGGGTTGGCTCTGCAAATAAAAAACATATTTTAAAGCTGGCAATACTGGCAATTGACATGTGTCAAAATGACGTACTGTCTGTAAATAAAAAATTATATTACAGACATGTAGATTTTGAGAAAAATACTTATTTTAGACTATAGAATCTTCAAAACCTTTTTTTTTTTAATATTTAAAACAAACAGTACTACTGCAAACTACTGTTATTTATTTTTTTAATATTCCAACACTTACATAATTCCTTAAAGCAAGATTATTCTCCAATACTTTTTCTTTAGGAGGAGCATAATTAGCCTCCTTTGAAGTTGACACCACGAGAGCTCCGGTCTTCGTAGTAAAATCAGCCGGTACTTGAGAATAAGGCAAAGACGTCAAATACCCAAGAAACTTCGATAAAAGGCACAGTTTCTTAGACAATTGTAAAAACTCCTTGGATATTTCTGATTCGTTCGCTAAAAAAAAAAATATTATGACATCTGTCAATCACTATTGCTATCTCTTTTTTTTAGAATAGAAAGAAAGGGATAGCAATATTATCATTGTGATATCATTAGTAAAAAACTTACAACTCTCGGTGACAATTGACGACGAGTCTAAAACTATGATTTCCGTAGAAAACGCGTCCCGTAAATGGACTCGAAAGCTTTCATTCTCAGCGTACATGATAAATTCTCTGAAAAAAAAACAATCAGATATTACTTATGAAATAGCTTAAGAGATTTACTGCCTTCTATTTAAAATGGCGCCAAAAGAATAATGGTCGTTTTTATTACGAAACGTTTGGTTCCTTAGCTAAAAAAAATACTTAGATACAGATTTTTTATGTGCAATATATTGTCGACTTTGAAAAGCGAAACTCCTACGACATTTTTCTCGCTTATAAAGGTTTTTCTGGAACCCAAATTACTCACTTATAGTGATTTTCTAAAAGAAGCGGACAATGACTCTCGCTTATAAAGGTTACTCACTTATCCAAGTTTAACTGTATTTTAAAATTATTACTTACTTATAAAACATCTCCTTGTCAGAAAATTGTGGCAGTCTATGAGTCTCAGGCGCATTAGGACAGGTCAGCCGTCGATGTAACTTACTCATCTTTGATTCCTGCAAAACAATTAGGAATTTAAAAAAAATATCCAAAATCTATCACAATTTCTATAATATATTATCAAACTAATTGCAACGAAATGGGTAGGAAATTAACGTCTTCGACTGTTATATGTTCTCATATGGGAGGAAACATTTACCTGCGATGTGGGCGGTAAACACTCAGCAATCATATGAGCGGTGAACAACGCGGCGAGATGGGCGTGGTTCGCTGCGGTGGGACCTGACGCAAGCAGAGTCTTGATGCGGGCTTTGAATGTGGTCCTCGATCCACCGGATGTCTGAGTATCTTGGTACCACCTGATAAATGTATTCATTAATTGCTTGCAAAACATAAAAAAGAAACTATTTGGTTTGTAAATAAAATAGTCAAAACTTGTATAAGCAAGAAACCTCTATAAGCGAGTCATTGTCCAGTCCCAAAGGACAACCTCTATAAGCGAGAAACTTGACTAAGAGAGAAATCTCTGTAAGCGAGACAAATATCCCTTGAACTTTTGCTTCGATTATTTTTTAAATAAATACATAGTGTAATAATAATGTGTAATATTACTAGCAGGTGGTAAATTTACAACATTTTTTTATAGACATACACTGTAATGATTAAATTGAATAAAATTAAAAAGTTGTTGAAACTCACCTCAGAATTTCATAAAACATGTCTCTTTGCTTTTTAAAATTCTGAAAACTTAATAAGGACGGAAAATTATCAGCATTGTCCGTTTCAAAATTGAAACAAATGACACCGTTTGATGCACGACATTCTGATATTACTTTAGACTTGTCCTGGCTTAACTCAGCTTCAACTTTAAGTCCATACGAGTTCAGAAGAAACTTTGCCAATTCCGGATAAAAACTTCGAACTTTCTTATTCTCACCTAATATTTTCAATGAATTCTTATCTAATATAACTTCTAATATAGTTCGTTGACACCATAAAGATTTTACAGCAAAATATGTACTGTTGTGTATTGATTTTAAAAGATATTCACTAACATTGCTATCGTCTACTTGAGATTCTATATTTGCATTGTCTTCATATTGTTTCGAAAGCAAAATAGATATTAAAAAATACAATTCTGTGTTAAGGCTAAGGATTAAATTATTCTTTAATATTGTATCGTATATTTCTACGAATATATCTATCCATTCCTTAAATACAACGTTATTTGCATTAGCAGCAATGTACTTCTGTTTCGCATCCATTGACTCTTTACGTGTAACCTTTATCTGTGGGGTTGTTACGATTTTGGGTGACGTAGATGTATTTAAAATGTTAAATTTCTCCATGAGCTTGTGTCGTTCTTGTTTCAAAATGTTTCTCTCTATTTCAAAACTGTTCGATGATTCGTTCGGTTGTACTTTTTGATATTTGAAAGCTGCATTCTCTTCTAAAGCTAATGGAGAATTTGATTGGAAATTTTCAACATTGAAACTGTTTAATGAGAAACTTTTTTGACTTGAACTCTTGTCTAAATTAGTAGGTTTGATCCGTCTTCGCTCAGAACGCAACGAACTGGACTTTCTCGCGCCTATTTCTGGAAAAATTTCCGAGTTACTTATGTCTAGATCTACTTTCGTTTCAATATCATTGTCGTCGGATGTATTTTTACCGCGTTTCTTTTTGCTATTTTTAGGCTGGGCGTTGACTAAAAAATCTCCGAAACTAATATTTTTTTCCTGAGACCGAGAATGTCTGTGGGATATTCTGGGCGTATCGCATCGTTCATAGTTATCTTTGAAGCTACGGTAATTTGGTGTGACAGGACTTGTAATACTCGAATGTTCATTTTTGTATCCATTTTTGACTGGTGTACTTGATATTATCAGTCTATTAACTCCACTGCAGATCTTAGATTCATCAGGTGAAACAGTAGGATCTTTACTTTTGTCATCGGGAAACAATTTTGTTTTTACTTTTCGTCCTGTCTTTTTACGATCTCGGTTTGGTGAGCCTTGACTAGTTTGGTGGTCATTTTTTATACTGAGGCTGTCGGTAGTCCGATCAGTGTCACTTGTTGGATCACTAACTGATCTCCGATGCTTCCTCCTTGATAATATCTTTTCCGGAGTAGGTTGTTGTTGAAGGAGCTGTACTGCATTGCTGTTTGTTTGTAAAATACTAAAATAAATACAAACTAGTTCAGAAAAATTCTGGTATAACAATAAGTAAAAATTTGCCCATATAGTAATAAAACAAATTGCAATATTATAAGTATGTAAATGTTATAAATTTGTTTTTTTAGAGTTATGAGAAAACCAAGTACTTTTGTCTACCTTCTTAAGCGACAGTCAAGTTTATTCAATTTTTTAAAGTTTGCTTGAAAATGTTATGCTTACCTGTCTGTTTGACTTCGTATATAAGATAAAAAATGAGCAACAAATTCACTCTTACTGCAACATAGTAAAATACAATCCTCTGGAGCATCCTGTAAATTAATAAACATATAAAAACCACCGAATTTTCAAAACAAATGTTTTCACTTTAGGTTAGTTATTCACCTCAATAGATTCGTTATTTAACCATTTAATTAAAAGTCCTGTGTCTAATTTTCTTGTGAAGACACTTTCTATAATTGTTTCAGGCATTTTCACTTTTAACTACATTTATCACAAATTGAGAAAAAATCTCTTTTCTTAAAGTATCTTTATCGATTATAATGACAAGCTGACAAGTGACAACCTCTACGCGCTAATCACTCTGTCAAATTGACTTTGACATGAATAAGGAACTCCGAAAAGTTGCAATTGTGGTAAAACATTATAAGAAGTTTTAAAGAAAAGACATAAGGATATGTAAGAAAAACAGCAAATTATAATCAACGTATTTTTAAGAAGAACCTCTTTGACGATTCCGATTTAAAATCAAACCGTAAAAGTAGGATATCGATTTTCCTAGGGGTCACACCGTTCCACTTAATTTGACAGTTAACTTTAACTTAAATCTTAAATGTCAGTTTCAGTTTCCAAAGTTATGCGTTTGTTTATTGACATGAGAAGTTGTGAAGTTCTTTCAACGTAAACTTTTTACAAAATATTATGAATTAAACTACAAAAATTTTACATTATGGAGAATCTCTGCCGATGTTGTCATTCTCACTACGGCTTTCAAAGCCTTAATACATCTTATTCATACGAAGGCACAGAAGAAACTTATTCGTCGATGTTGCAAAAGACTTTCGACATTATTGTAAGTATTTTGTTCTGCAATAAACTTAATTTCTTTCGAAACACCATACTTTCACAGAACATCGGCAACATCTTGAACTGTAAGCACTTATAAGCTTGCATATTTATTCTACATTTTAACCTAAACGTAATGTTTTGTCTCTATATTATTTTTGTCATTTTACATTTAAAATAGATGTTTCTCAACAGTTTAACTTTTTTAAATTATATACGAAATCATTATATTGCATCTTCATATGCTTTTTTATCCATTAAACAGATTAATATTGATTACAGATAAGCCCAGTCATTGGAGAGTCAAATACTATCTCTTACTCTATCTGTGACGTATGCATTTCTCATTTACAAGATGCACTAACATTCAAAAAGCAAGTGGTCAGTTGTGAACAGATACTGTATACACATTACAATACATTAAGCTACAAAGGTAAGCAATGATTATAAAAAAAAACTAACTTTTTAAGTTTAGTTTATATTAATCATCCACTAAAAAGCCTTTAACTAATAGGAGATAAAAAAATACATAATAAAAAAACAAATCATGTAGCACAATTTAATTCTATTCCAGGCATAACATCTTGTATCAATACAGTAAAGGAAGAGGTGACAGAAATACACAATGGTAATAAAACAGTTTTTGCTTCAATTTAAATACTTTAAAATCTTATTTATATGCTTATTAAAGTGAATAAAATACATCTAAACCTTGATATACAAGATTCCAATCTACAACAATATTTTTCTTGCTTATAAAGGTTTCTCTTTATCCTGAGTTTCTTGATTTTAGAGTTTTCTTACCTCTGCAGGTTCAACTGTATATTAAAGACTTCTTTTTCATTTTAGGGTTAAAGCAAGAATCTCTTCATGAAAATGACAATGAATCTAAATGTGGTAAGATACAATTTTTATTCTTCTCATTTTACTAACATTAGTAAACCACTTAAACTTAGAAATCCATTTACATTGTTACAGAAAATAAAGTAACCCTAGAATGCTTGAATGACACTACTATAGATACAGCTGATGACCAGCCTTTATCAATATTGAAAAGCAAGGAAGCTGTACAAGAATCAGAACCCGAGGCAGAATGGGCTAGTGGACAAGAATTCAGTGATGGTAAATTAATTAATATGTTCATAATTTCAAACTTCACTATTTTAAGGCATTATTAGTTAGAATGCGTTGGCGCGAATGGCGCACTTTCATTATATAGTCAAGTGTCAGAATGATTAGTGAGGGGACATAAACGTCAATGGTTTAATAAGGCTACTGTTGTACCAGTACACCGGCACAGTGTGGAATTTTCTTCCTAACACTATGTAGTATCCAATAATTTAAAAAGTCCTAATCTTATATATAAAATTCTCATGTCACAATTTTCGTACCCATACTCCTCGGAAACGGCTTGGACGATTCTGAGGAGTATGGGAATGAAAAACCGATCTGAGAATCGGCCAACATCTATTTTTAATCCCGCGCGGACGGAGTCGCGGGCGACAGCTAGTATGTATTTAATATTTATTAATTAATCTGATAAAGAGATAGTTGAAATAGACAAAAGTTGTGTAGCATTAAACAAAACTATATTGGGCGTAACATAGACACAGTTTTTTTGTTATGGGCCTGCTTTTTGGGGGAAAGACAGGGTTATGTAAGATTCTTACTTACTAAAACCCCCTCGGTGGCAAACCTCAAGTGCGACTGCTACGGTTCCGGGATCTCCAAGGAACGCACCGGAACATAGACACAGTTACGGTTTTAAAATCCAAACTTAAATGAAATAAAACAATTAATATGCACATATCTAGGGATATAACACAAGATTCTTAGAACATTTAACTTAAGTATGTACTTCCTTTCCTATTTGGTTTATCATTGTTATCCCACAAAGCACATTGTTTGTATTTTCTTATGCAAAGTCTATTTACTATGTTATAAATTGTTTTTGCCTTTGTTACAGATGATATATCAAAACCCAGAAGTCGGAATCAATCTAAGAAATATACATGCGATGTTTGTTGCAAACAATTCACTTATTATGGTTCTTTAGAAGTTCATTTACTTACACATAGCGGTGAGAAAACTTATCAATGTCTTATATGTAATAATAAATTTACCCAAAATAAAGATCTAACTAAACATATATCAAATAATCATTCGAATAATGGAACATATCCTTGTAATATGTGTACGAAAATATTTGATAAAGCTCGCCTTTTGAAAAGTCATTTGACTACACACTATGATATTGAAAAGTTCAAATGTAATGATTGTGGTAAACAATTCCAAAGGAAGAAAGGATTGAAAGAACATATGAAAACACATACGAAAGAGAAAAATTTCACATGTGAAATATGTAAGAAATCATTTGGACATAATCAAACATTGAAATCGCATATTTTAACACATACAGGTGAGAAACCGTTTGTCTGTGATGTATGTGGACGGAGATTTTCACAACGTACACATTTGAAACGTCATATATTTATTATACATACAGGTGTAAAGCCGTATTCATGTAAAGATTGTAATAAGCAGTTTTCAAGCAAGAGTTATTTAGCAATCCATGCCCGTCAGCACACGGGTGAAAGACCGCATACTTGTGAAGTATGTAAAAAAGATTTTACAGCATATACAACATTGAAAGTACATATGCGTGTACATACTGGTCGTAAACCATATGCGTGTAGTTTTTGTGACAGACAGTTTGCTCAAATGGCCAGTTATAAATTACATGAAAGAACTCACACCGGTGAAAGACCTTATTCGTGTAAAGTATGTAAGAAACCATTTTCAGATAATGGTTATTTAAAGATTCATATGCGTGTACATACAGGTGAGAAACCGTACAATTGTGATGTTTGTAAACGTTCTTTTAGAGAGACAGGACAATTGAAACGTCATATGAGAGTACATACAGGTATAAAACCATACACTTGCAAAATTTGCAATAAACAAATAGGTAATTTATCGAAGCATATGCGTGTACATTCTGATGAAAGGCCGTATAATTGCAATATATGTAATAAACAGTTTACTATAAATAGTAATTTGAAACTACATATGAGGATACATACAGGTGAGAGACCGTTTGCATGTGATTTATGTAACAGCCAATTTACACAAAGCAGTGGTCTTAAACGGCATAGATGTACGCATGTTGATAAAGTTAATACATAACCTGAAATTTAAAAATAGAAAGCAAGAAACCTCAATAAGCGAGAGTCCGGTTATGACTCGCTACCTTCATAAGTGAGAAACTCGTGTAAGAGAAACGTCTATAAGCGAGAAAAATGTCGCGGTCTCTTGGACTCTTGCTCATTCAGGTTCATGTATTCACTCGAACATATATGTTCAAATTACAGTATCTTTTCTGTTAAAGATTTTTCTTATGTGTTTATAGTGATTTATTTGTCGTTCTTAGTAACTTATATTTTGTGATTGTAAGTAATTTTAGGCTTCTATTGGTGTATTTAATGTCGTCAAATCAGTTTTATTTATTGTTTAAATACACTAATATTGTATGTTTTAAGAAAACATCATATTTATATGTAAAATAGGGGAATATTATTACAGAAAAAAATTCTAGCCATTTTATATTTATTTTTATTTTGTAAAAAATCACAGAGAATTTAAATATTATAAAGTATAATAAATAAATGTCAATGAATTATTTCTTTTTTTTTTCAATTTATAAAAATATAATAAATGTGTCGTATGATCTACTTATACGTATTCAAACATTTAATATAATCCGACTCGAAGGACTCCCGTGATTCTTCTATTGGTACATATTGTCATCTCTTTCATTCTCTTTGATAAAACAGAGACAACAATACGTAATTAAAGTATCACAGCCTTGGAATTCCACGGTTAGCAAATCCGTGATCTGAATACACATGTAATAGGCTTTAAGTATTGAGTTAAGTACTTGAGGTTTAGTACAACGGAATGCATTTAATAGTTAAGTGAAATTAAAGCCATATCAGTGAGTACTTTATGTAAGTAAGTGTAAGTGTAAAACATCTATTTAAGCCTAATGATAATTGTCTTTAACTTAAAAGGTTACTCTTTATTAAGCACTTTATTTAATAAGCACTTATTTTTCAATTACTATAAAAAATTAGAGCTACCCGTTGCTAAAACTGATCATATTTAAAAAATAAAAACATGGCAAATCGATATCGAAAAAACCCTATGACCAAAGACTTAGTTTCTTAAAGAAAAAACCTAATTTTGTGCGGATTGCCATATATCAGTGTGAGTGCGCACACAAAGGAGACGGTGATAGTAGTTTCCGTACATCTTACTTATATTATAAATGCAAATGTTTAGTTGGATGTATGGATGTTTGTTTGAAGGCATCGCCAGAACGGCTCTCGATGAAATTTGGCATACATATAAAACATAGTCTGGAAGAACACATGGGCTATTAATTATATGTTTTTTTTTAATTCCTGGCGGACAGAGTCGCGGGCGACCCGACCCACTCGCTTCACCTCTCTTTGGCCTAGTCATTTTCATTAGTAAAATGAATCGTAGTATTTTGTTTGTATTGTGTCCATTTTATGCACGGTTTTTACGTCACGAAATTTAGAAGAATAAATAGGACAGAGAAAAAATCGTAAATTGTTAATACACCAGGAAGAGTTGATAATTGTTGATTATACATATGTTATTGTCGGCGTTTATGGATATTGTACACGGATTTTCCGGGTAACAACGCGAAAACCCACCGTCAAAAGTTTCATTTGATCCGTTGATTTCTTATGATATATCTAAACAAAAACATCATTAATATGTTGTTTCAAACCAAATAAATGACCTTAACATTTACATGCAGTCATAAAATTATTTATCAATATGATCTCATAGTAACTGCACCATTTATCAAAGATTAGATAATGTAGTAATGATAACGGAATACCGAAATATTTTAAAATTGCTTATGTTTGAAATTTACAGTATAATATTGTGATGACCGAGTTATTACTTCTAATGTAACTTTTTATTGCAAAAGTACGATTATTTAAAAAAATATCATTACACGTCTGATGTTAATTGAAGTTGGGTCGGCAGTAAAATGTTAGATAAATAATAGGGTCTCATAGATAAAGAGAAGCGACATCTATCGACTGTTTATTATATAAATAATCAAACATTCCTTTCAGAGATCGAACCTGGTACACTTTGTTGCTCTCTAGTAACTGCTTAAATAGAAGATTAATTGCTGTTATTTGTCCCTCAAATAGAAACAGTTTTATCCATCCATCCATCTAGCTATATAGATAGGAAGTTTAACCAATTTTTAATAGGCCTGAGTAAGCAACCTTAAGATGCCACACCTATAACGAGAAATCGTAAACAGTAGACGTAATAATGACTCATCAGAATACTTGAATTTTACTAATTTTCTACAATTAATACATTAGTTTATATAACATTTTATATGCAGATATCAGAATGGCAAAGAAAATAAATTATGTTGTCTTTGATAACAAGTAGCTTGTGGTTGAAGTGGGGAATGTCTGCGATGGGACGGAACGAATTTAAAACCAGTAACTTTTGTAGCAAAATTCTGTAAAGACGTGTCACATTTACTATTAAAATAATATTTAGATTGTAGTTTTTCCACTAAGACATATACTAAAAGTGTGTGTAAGATATTTTTAGTCGTGTAATAAACTTAAAACATTGACGGTGTTTACAATAAAAATGACGCATACCCGCCGACCTCTTGTCATTTGAGACACTTAGTACGAACGTGATAACGAAGATAAACGCTCCGATAGCGTTCCCAATTTTTGTAACAAACTACATTATACTTGTTAGTTGAATTGTATTTGCCACCGGTGAATAATAAAGGTTGATTTTATTGCTGTGTAAAAGTTTAAAATGTCGGAAATAGTGCATGTTCAGGCGGGCCAGTGTGGAAATCAAATAGGATCAAAGGTTTGTTTCAAATTCACTTTATTAATAGTTTTAAACTTGAAAATGACGTAGTGTATGGCATTGAGAATGACGTGTGTGTTTTTATTTAATCATCTGTTAAAACATTCTCACGAGTTAACCTCAATTAAATAAGAGCGATGTATTCGTCACGTACTCATATGAAGCGAGACTATTGTGAAAGTTGTATTAATAGAATCTTGGTTATAAGGAAATTTTTTCTTCCATCATTCCTCGTCGTGTTCTTATGGTATTTTAAAAATGGAATGTTAAAACATAAATTGCACCATAGATATAACGTATGAAGTAGTGGAATAATACAAATTATAACCTAAAAAAATGCAATTAACTGATTTTTATTGTATAATTTACTCTAAAATAATAATTTTATTGCCTAACCAATTTGTTGTATTGAAGTAGACAGGGCTGCCTTTGTTTTATGATACGTAACTTTTGGCGCTAAACCGGTGAACCAATAGGAATTCAGCGTTTTAGAAAACTGTTTTCTGATCATTATCACGACTACTATAAGTGCAAAATCGTAGTTAAAACGCTAAGACTCGGCATTTAACTAAATTTTGACAGTACCAAAATATTAACGATGACATTTTGGCTGAGTTGCAGAAATGAATAACCATAGTTGAGTTTTTGGTACCGCAACAATTTTGGCAAAAGCATCACCTATGTGAGCCAAACAAGATTTTGTAACATGTAAAAAACTTAAACTATAGCTTACAATTAAGGAAATTCTCATTATTATTCATTATGTATAATAAATAAATGTAATTCATAATTTTAATGCGTAAGCGAACAAGCGGTAAGCTGTTATTTTAAACGTTATTACGCGTTACTGCTATAATTCTTAATGCTATTAACTGTATGAGTTGTTTACAATTGTTACATTCCATTGAGTTACAGTTTGCTTAATCCCATAAGTATCACGTTAATAATGTAGTTATTTTATTAATACAATTAGAGATAACATGCAGTTATTAGAAAACGTATTAAACTCAAATTTGCCGCGCTTCGTTGGTTCTTTCAAGCCTTTCACTAGCCATCATGTGAACGTCTCGCTTTAGATCAAGTTACAAATGATGAACTTGTTTACATTGACATCGACAACATTTAACATTCCTTTCCGTGAGAATTGAAATCGATATTATAAATAAATTCTATTTATGATTTTCGTGTGACGAATAGAACACAATGAGTTAAAGTATGGGCACAAAAAAATGAAACATTTTTTTCCATTTCTTTTTACATGCGTAATTCAATAACAATAATCTGTTACAGTTCTGGGAAATAATATCCGATGAGCACGGAATCGACCCCTCGGGCGCTTGTATCGGTGACAATCCTCTACAAAAGGAGCGGCTGAATGTATACTACAATGAAGCATCAGGAGGTAATGGGGTAAAAAATCTGGCTGTCATACATTTTATATTGAACAGCTTGAAACTGGTCTTTAATTTTTTTTATTTCTTATTGTATAAATTATGCGGCCAGGACGTTAAGCTATCGCTATTTATAAAGTATAGATATATCCAAGATTGGTTGGCAGATGTGTTATTTACTTTTATATTGAGAAATGATACAGAAAAATAGATATGGAATCCTTAAATATAATTAGAATTGAGAAAATTCAGAACACATTCTATTCTACTTTGAGTTGCCAGATTCGAAGTTCTACAAAATCTGTTTTTGTACAGCTGTTTCGGCAGTGTAAACTAATTGAATTATTCATATTCCAGGTAGATACGTACCAAGAGCAGTTCTCGTGGACTTGGAGCCGGGCACGATGGACGCGGTGCGCTCCGGACCGTACGGACAACTGTTCAGACCGGACAACTTCGTGTTCGGACAGAGCGGCGCTGGTAATTTTTTTTAGAAACAAAAAATGCTGTCATCCACAACAAGAAAATGATCATCGACGACATATACTAAGAGCCGTCAATAGGTTATATTACCGTGTGATACCACTGCCGAAATATATATATTTAAATATATTGTCATCTGTTTCACTCACTTTGATGATATAATTTCGTCCATGTATTTCGACCGTGAAAACTCACCGTAAATAATATCGCCGATGGACGTAACTCATTGAACGTTATGAAAAAACTTTTATATTTTTTTTTCTGTCTAGGCAACAACTGGGCCAAGGGCCATTACACGGAGGGCGCAGAGCTGGTCGACTCAGTGTTAGACGTTGTGAGGAAAGAAGCCGAAGGATGTGATTGTTTACAAGGTACAAACAAATTAGTAATTTTAAATTATTCATTAGCGACATCTTGAATAATGCGATGAAGTCTCATCCCGACAAACAGACAATAATCATATATACTCGTATATAACATGTAGATACACAGATTAGTTACTTATGATAGGTATGTATAGAATATTTCTATGTACAGGATTCCAGTTGGCACATTCATTGGGAGGAGGAACTGGTTCTGGACTGGGCACGTTGCTCATCAGCAAGATCAGGGAGGAGTTTCCTGACAGGATCATGAATACGTTCAGCGTTGTGCCTTCACCTAAAGTAAGCATTATCACTAACAAGTTTTAGATTTGGAACCGAAGTTGTTACCAGCCTTAGTCTATGAAATAACGTAAAAGTCATAAAAAATATTGGTAACATTACTAAATATCTATGGTATCAAATAATCCTCAAAGACACTCCTCTCACTGGAATAACTTGATCATAAAATGAGGACGTAAAAATTGTCAAATAAAAAAAAATAAAAAAAACTTTGTTGTAGGTGAGCGAAGTAGTTTTAGAGCCATACAACGCAACTCTGTCAGTACATCAACTGGTAGAGAACACAGATATGTCGTTCTGTATTGACAACGAAGCTCTCTACAACATCTGCTTCCGGACATTAAGACTTAGCAGCCCAACATACGGTGATCTTAACCATTTGATTTCGGTAAGTTGCAATTGTTTATTTATGATGATTTTTTACCTCAATATATGTAGAAGTGTAGGTGACTCCGCGGCTCAGTCCGCGCGTTATAAAAAAAAACCTAAATAAGTAGCAAATGTATTCTTCCAGACTATATTCTAAATCTGTGCCAAGTTCCATCAGAATCCATCCATTCACCCAAATACTCTTAGTTATATTAGTAATATTTAAAAGTTTTAAATAATATCAGTGATTGATTACTACTTATTTGCCATTTTTAAGAGTAAAAATTGACCAAATCTACATATTTATATTGTTTTTAATAATCATGTGTTTTTAGTTAACGATGTCAGGTGTGACAACCTGCCTGCGTTTCCCAGGTCAGCTCAACGCCGGTCTGAGGAAACTCGCTGTCAATATGGTTCCTTTCCCGAGGTTACATTTCTTCATGCCCGGTAAGTTTTATTTTTCATTAATGTTATTTTAGTATTGTAACAACTAGAATGAATACTTTTTATTTACATAGTATTTTTATAGGTTTCGCTCCGTTAACGGCTAAAAACTCGTTCAGTTACCGCGCTCAAACTGTCCCGGAATTGATGAGTCAGGTTTGTATGGCAACATTTACTTATTAAACCATGGCTCATATATACAAGAAACCAGAGCTGCATAAGTTGTTATTTAAAACATTATTAAATTAAAATCAATATGTTATATCAGATTCATAAATAAATAAAATACGATAACTAACAGATGTTCAACCCCGGCAATATGATGACTGCATGCGACCCTCGGCACGGGCGCTACCTCACCGCAGCCACCATGTTCCGCGGCCGCATGTCCATGCGCGAAGTTGACGAACAGATCTTGGCCGTACAGAATAAGAACTCCAGGTGAGTTTTCTAAAGTTAAAGAAAAAACAGCTATGATATACAGAAGACTTTGGTCCACAGAGTACACTAATACCTTACAGAAATAATTAAAAAATATATTTAATTTGCAGCTACTTCGTGGAATGGATTCCTCATAACCTCAAAGTGTCGGTTTGTGACGTACCTCCACGCGGTCTCAAGATGTCTGCCACCTTCATCGGCAATACAACGGCTATACAAGAAGTTTTCAAACGTATTTCTGAACAGTTTACTGCTATGTTCAGAAGAAAGGTAACTTTAACAATTTCACTTGACTTGAATATTTTTAATTTGGATATTTTGACAATCTACCCACATGAACTTTTACCAACTTTAAATAACATAACTTTCGCAGGCTTTCCTTCACTGGTATACGGGTGAAGGTATGGACGAAATGGAGTTCACTGAGGCTGATAGTAACATGAGCGACCTTATTTCGGAATATCAGCAGTATCAGGTAAAACATAACCTCAAAAAATGTATTATAAAATGGCAACACCGTTGCGAATTTAAACTTCATATTTTGATTTTTTTTATTAAAACAGGAGGCTGGTGTCGAAGACGACGAAGTGGAATTTGACGAAAGAGAAGAAGAACAAGAGAATACAGAAGCTGAGGCAGAAGTTATGTAAACTTAATTTTAAGGCTTATTTAAGTCTTAAAGAAATATATCAGACTAAGATTATTGCGCAAATCGTTAAAATTGTAAATTGTTATATAACGATTAATTATTACGAAAATTACAGATTTTTAAGCGCGTTTTTTACAATATTGTTGTGACTATATGGACAGTATTTAAAAATTCAAATCAGCACAATTTTTAAAAGTAAAATAAATTTATATTATTTTCATGATTTGGGAACCGACAAATTCAAAGTTACTATTACAATTATATTATTTTTTATTCGATATCTATTTTGACATGCTCGCATTATATTCAGTTATTATTAAAAAAAAACCTCCCTTGATTCATTCCAGTTTACAATTAAATCCTTTTACGTAAGATCTTGAAACAATTTTCTGTTATATAAAATATTACAAAACAGTGTAAAATAATGGACAATAAGGCACAGAATCATGAATAATGATGGCTAGTTTTTTTATCTATTTTTTTCGTACAAGTATACAAGTATAATCAATTAAGTAAACTAGTTTTATAACTTTCACTGCCTGTTTTACTACCTCAAGATATTAATTTTCTATCTAATGATGACTTCACTATGTTATTCCATATGTACGATGATTCCATACTTTTTTACACTTATTTTCGACCAAGGAATCATACTTTTTAATTATTATTCGAGATGCACACTTTATTGTTAAATCTGTTTTTTATTAATAAAAGTTTGATTATAATTTAAAATCTTTTTTTCTTCCTATAGAATTAAATACTTATATTTTTATTTATATTAAGTCCTAATCGCACACGTCGGGTTACTTCAGCACGTTGTTACCTAAAGATTTTCAGAAAGTCGGAAAACGAAACGAACAAATTATTTTTCAGTCCCCACAGTCAAGACCATCAGGACAAGAGAATAACTTTAGGATTACAAAACACTATTAGTAAACAAAAAAATAAAAAATTTCGCGATACTCAAAAGCCACGTAGTTTCGGTTTTTGTCAAAAGCATTTAAAAAATAATTTATTTTTATGTCTTGTAACATTTTAGCAGCCATCTTTCTTTCTGCTTCTGTCATTTACGTGATCCGTGTGGTTATTTAGGTTAGATTTGCTTTAAAATTAAACATTATTTAACAAAAACGATCCTAACCGTTTCGAAATAGTGTATTTTCCCGATTTTTTTCCAGATACAAAATGCAAAACGACGCTGGTGAATTTGTTGACTTGTACTGCCCGAGGAAATGGTATGCATGTTTTGTCCATAACGCATGTTTCTTTCTCATTTCTTTATTTTTAACTTGAACTTCTTTATTTCGTTGAAAGAAATTCAAAGTTTAAATTAGTTAAATATTTATGAAAATGTTTACAAACTTTGTAAAGATCCAACGTTTACTTATTTTTCCACCGTAGTTTGTATAACCTATCAGTTAAAAACCTATGAAACAAAGCATACACAAAGAAATCACCAACAGAACCAAAAAAATTGATAGTAAACATTGAAACATCCACATTCTTAATGATATCCGACTGAAAACCTTCATAATTACGAATTATATGAAACTTTCAGCTCGGCCAGCAACCGTCTCATCCACGCCAAGGACCATGCGTCTGTGCAGCTTGTGATCGCTGACGTCGACCCAGCGACCGGCCGCGCTGCCGACACCTCCAAGATGTACGTCATCTGCGGAGCCATCAGGCGGATGGGAGAGTCGGATGATTGTATAGTCAGACTCACTAAGAAAGACGGCATATTGATCAAGTAAGGAGTTGTTTCTACACAAAAATGTTCACACCAGTGTAAGAGTGTGCAATAAAGTGAAAATAGTGATTCAATGTCTATCACTTGAAACACAAACAGTAGAAGTAATTTGATTACACTTAATATTTTGTTGCATACAATTTAAACCGAAGGTGTGTACCAAGTGCATTGATGTACTGTTAAGGTTGAGAGGTGGAATAGAAACATATCAAATAGAAATCCATGTTTGATGTCGTGTTGCTGTGTTAATTTATAACTGGTAATTGCATGCAACTTCATTGGCACAAAATGACAAAAGTAGCCTACAATATTATAAAGTACCATTATTACATCAGAATCTAAATCAGCCTTTCAGTGATTACCCAATTTTTTTTTTTTACTCTTATAGAATACTCCATTCAAAAACACTACTATTTTTTGGTATAGATGACCTTTCCCATTTTAGAATAATTCAAAAAATCCATGTTAATGAAGAATTCTTTCTTTTTGTTTCAGGAACTACTGATGATGTAGTTATGTAAGAAGCGCTATTTTGTAAGACAAAATAAAAAAAATTAAAAGCCAAAGAATTTTTGTTTTATTTAATTTAACAGTGTACACAAGATACCAATGTATAAAAACTTAACAGGCATTGTTTACAGAGTTTTTTGTAGTTGATTATAAAAGTTTCTAAAACGAAAGAAAGATTATTGACAAGTATTTCTTAACAAGTAAAAGTTTCTTCTTCTTGTTGGCTGTTTATTGTGATATTGGATGGCATACATTTTTCTGACAAAGTGACACTTAAAAACTGCAAAAACAAGATATTATCTCCATGGTTTCATCCCAATTGTTTCGTAATTTATAGCTATATTTGAAAACATCATAACTAAACCAGATATTTTTTTAGTATTTGCTGTATGTAGTATCAAGTTCTTTGTTAACCGATTCCATAAAAGTCTTATGAATTGAAACATATGCCTGTAAAAGACACAAAAAATCAAATTTGTACTTTACTAAAATAAGGCAAGATTAGAATAAACTTATTTCAACAATATTCAAGATAGGCTAGAAAGAATTACGAATATTTAGTATTTACACATTCAGTTAGTTGAAATAAAGGGCCTATTACGAATATCTGCGACATGAGCATTCGTGACATCATCGACAAAATTTGTGCAGCAAGCCTACCCTCTATCGAGCGCAAAACACACTAACAAATCTTATTCAAATGTTGATGTTATTTACCTTTATAATTATTATGCCAATATAAGGTTTTTTGCGCCTCGATCATCAAATTTCCTGAGTTCTCTTGTTCCTCTCCTTGATTTTTTCCTTTAGCTAGCAGTTTAACCTGAAAAATTGTACGGCTAATTGTTTTCGGACTTAAAATATTAACCCTATAAGTGCTAAAAGGATGAGTTCGACCCTGTACAGTCACTTAATATAGTTTAAAACCTTATAACTTAACATCTTACCACTCTTCAAGACCATCATTATCTTTTTTTCTCCCTTTATTATTAACATACAACTACAAAAAGGTGGTCCTTTTTTCGTCGACCGTCAAGTAATCCAAGGTTGATGGGAGAAGTTTTATTTTTTTTCCGCTATAATTAGAGTCTACATTTATTAAAACTTGACCTTAATTATTTCTCATAGCTTTACGTACCAGCCACGGCCGCACCCGGGCTTGCCGCCGGGCGGCGGTCTGCAGATTGTCTTCTTTTTACAGCAGCCCCCTACGGTCGCTATGAGGCACAACACACACCACCACAGCGACCACAGCAAATTTCTCTGCCATATATTCATACAATTGTAGCGAGATCAATCATGTTTTACGAAGACAGAGTCGATTCTATTTATTAGAACGACTGATTACTGGCCGAATCTAACAGTTTCAATATATTTATGATACTATTATGAACAATTTGTTAGAAACAGAAAATATTGCTATAAAATAGTTTAGAATTATCGACGATTGGACCCTTCCGAGTTCGCGGACACCAGGATTTAGGTGTATACTACTAGTTTTTAAAGGTACTTTCACTGTTATGGAAAAAGAATATGGAATTTTGCGTTCTGTCATATACTAAACATTACCTATATCTCGAGAAAACAGCCTGGTACTATCACATATACTTGGTGAAAAAATCTCTTACTCACCATATTATTTTCACTTAATTTGATGGCGACTACCGTCATAAGTTCAGAGAGGTGACGGTGTGACGGCTGGTGTGGCGATCACCAGTACTTAGGTTTACAGCCGCCCGGGCAGCGAGGTGGGCGGCAAGAAGATTTCTTCTTGCAGGCGAGAGCGCCGACCACCTGGTTTAGAACATTTCTTAATTACCTCGCGCCTCAAACACGTATTGTTTCTAGGTCTATTATGAAATGTAAGAAAATCACTGTCTAAACCAAACATTTAGAACCTACGACTTCAAAAACAAGTGCAAACAAAAATTTTATTAAAGCTCTACCTCAAAAAATCAAATTAACTCGTTCACCATTGACGCTGTATTGGAGTATTAAAAACAGTAAATTAAAAGAAAAAAGGAGTAAAATATAGAAGGTAGTATTCATCGTCAACATGGTATAAAGATGCCAAACATATGGATTCTGTAACCTGTGACTATTTTCCTAACTGTAACTATTTTCCAAAACAACTAAACAACGATCAAACAAAAATGGTTAGGTTAGGTTTTGTCGTTAATGCAGCCTTCTAAAAATTGCACTGAATTGTTTTAGTGCTATATTATTATTATACTCGGTTTACTAGTCGCAAAAAGCATAGCATTTTCATTGGTATTTGTCTTTGCTTCTATAGATATATACTTGTGAATCCATTATCTGTATGTTTCTGAAAACTTCATGACGAAATGATAACATTTTAAATTGTGTGGACAACAAGCAAAAGTTCGACCTCTATTACTTACTCCTAAAGTTAACCTAATCAACAGTATGAAAGGGTCGCCTTAAATGTTTATTGTAGTTTGAAATTATATCTCATGTAGTTGGTAACAGACTATATATAGACGATAATAATATTTCTAGTTAATACAATGGTTTATTTAGAGACTTCTTAATAGAAAAGATACTGAGGAATCTGAGTCTTTAATATTTTTGAATTGTTTGAACAATGTTTGACATTGTCATAGTACTTTGTAGGATTTATACATAAGTAAAATCGCAGCGAGTAGAACTCTTTATGGGGTCACTTTTGGGTCAATTTTACCTGACAACGGTGGCAACCTTTGAATGATGGTGGTATCACAAGTTTGGTATTTACCTGTAATAAAAGACACACTAGCCACCAGAAAGCATCACTTGTATACTTCATATTTGCAATTAGTCGATGGCTGAATCCGAATAGGATCACTACATGGTGTTTATTGTTTATATTGTTTAATTTTCACTATAAATTTTGCAATTGACATTTCGGAAAATTTCTTTTGTTCTGTCTGACTGTGTCAAGAAGAATTCATTGTAGCATCTGATAGATATGCGGCCAGCGTCACAACGTAGATGACAAATTGTAATAAAAAAAAGTTTTCAAATTCTTTAATTTTTTTAATTACCTAACTTAAAATTAATAAAACCTGAAATATAATAAAATATGAAAAATAACCTCACATTTTTCGAACTCGTCGATATTGATGTCATCGATAATATTTCTATGGGTAACTATTTAAGCGCAACTGTTAAGCGCCACATGCCTACGAAAAGTGCATTTTAGCAATAAACTTATATATATCCTCATGTAAATGTTTATTACATATTACAGTTTTACATAGTTGCGATAAAGTGACGGTAGTACAAAAAATGGTGGAGCTCTATTGCTGACGTATTCACAGATGTAACAGAAACTTTATCATGTTTGTCTATGGATATCTTGTTATAGAACCATTGATAACTTTAAAAATAAAGGTAATTGATTGATTTTTAAATAAATAAAGCTATCTTTGCCGTGATATGTTATTACTACGAAAATACATAAAACATGCTTTTTTATACATAGTCTGACATAGCAACTAGTCCACTGAAAATGATATAATAATAAGAACACATAATCCGAAGTAAATAATATATTTTCTACAAGATATGTATATGATATATGTTAGCAGGCGCACGCGCGCCCCGGTCTGCAGAACAGCTGGGTAGTGAAGCAGTCCCTGAACGCGCGCCAGTAGACCCTGCAGCGCGCGCAAAGGGACTCCTCACCCAGCCGCTCCACGAAACGCCCCCCTACGCTGAAGCCCCTCATGTCGTACGTCCTCTCGTTGCGCAGCTCGCGGTCTTCACTCCGGGCCCGGCGCGGCTCAGCATGGAGTGTCTGTAGACGCTTCGCTTGTGCGTACAACTGTTGGATATAATTAATATTATAGAATTTCTTATGGCGCCCTGAAAATTAAATTGAAAACAAGCTTTTATACCGTTCTTGTAATTCAAAAAACTAAAAAAACAACGTGGTCAATACGAATCAAACGAACCTAAACTCGATGAGGTTGTGTCGTTTCATAAGTCTATATGGCCATCTTCTAGATCTATCATCTGATCAGCACCATGTTACACGTCTTACAGATGTTTGCGAATTTTGAGCTCAATCAGTAATGGTGGATCAAATTTTTGCAAGATTTAATGATAAACGTTGAGACAGGGAAAACTAAATAAAAGTTTGTAAAATCAGTGTCAAACAATCGTTCCAATACTAACAGACAGTGGATCATCCAGATCGAAACTGGTCAAATGATTGCGTGTCGTGTTGCAATCTAAATTGAGATCCCGCTGTACAACCCTGATGAAAAATAAATATATTTAATAAAGTTTACAAAAATAATAACACTAATTGCATTGAAAGTACTTTTAACTGTCATTCATCATCATCCTATCCTTATTCCATTCTATGTGGGATCATTTTTGACCTCCAAATCGATGTATCATTTTCTTATTTTTATCGCCACTACCCTACTTTATTACCTGTTATTCTTTATTTTACTAAGAATGTTGTGTTCAAATCATTCACCTTTCTGTAGCTATATTAGGCCGCTTCTCTTGCAGCGGTGCTATTTCAAGGAAGTGAGCTCTAGTGACAGCCAGCCTGCGGTTCTCGCACGGCCGCACTTCTCTCCGCCGCTCGCCTCGTAACATCCGATCTTTTTGACGCACCTGCTCCCCCGACGGTATCGGCGTCGTGCCCGTCGCTTTCGTTTGTATTTGCAGATCCACCTTCCGTTCCGTCGGACGTGGTGTTAGCAATATCTGTGATAAGCATACACTTTATATCAAATACTTCTTTTCTACACGTTTCCCTAAATTCTTTCCTTTCTAAAATTCTCCCGTTTGTCTCAATAAAGAGAACAACGTATCTGTACCTGAACTGTGGGAGACAATTGCCTCGATGTTATACAAGTGTGGAGATCGGGCTCCGTTGCCACTATCTTGTCTGACACGGACACAGAGCCGGAAGAGAGCCCATCACGGTACAACGACATTGGCTTTGTGCTTAACGTCAGCGGAGGCATCGGACGACGCGCCGCAAAGAGACGACTCAACTCGTCTAGTTTGTTCATTATTATCTTGTACGTTTTGCATTCGTCTGTCTGAAATATATACTTAAGCTAAATCATCATGATCTTTCGACAAAATCATTGTAACGTTTATTAAGTTAACGACCACTTACCCGATGCTTGTCCTTATGACGTTCCCTGGAACTACGGCTACTAGAAGAAATATTGCTAGATTCGATGCTCGTGGTCGAACACTCGGGTTTCGGTCGCTTCGCCTTCGGCCGCTCTGGTTTCGAGCGTTCCGGTTTTAAGCGTTCCGGCTTCGACCGATCCGGTTTTGATCGGTCCGCCTTCGGTCGTTCCGGCTTCGGTCTGACGCATTTAACTCGTTCGGTCCGACGCTCGTTGCGTCGTTCACCGTGCCTCTCATTGCGGCGTTCGTTCCTGCGCTCTCCGAGCCGCTCACAGAGCTGCGCGACACGAGCGATCTGTTCCTGCTGCTCTCGCAGGGCCCTCTCGCAGGCCGTGCGGAACGCGAGCAATGACGAAGCCGACCCTCGCCCACGAGCTGATTCCCTACACCTATGCGTTGTTACGTCTCCGCTCACCCGTCTGGGAGAATTAAGAAGGAAATGCTTATTAATGTTTCAGTTATATTTTACAAATAAAAAACACGATTATACTCCCTACTGAAAAATATTAATCTAAGATGTTATTGTGACCTGTGGGAGCGATGCCTATGCTGGGGGTTGCTACCGTCGGAGAGGCCTGAGTCGTGGGAGAAGCGCTTCATGTGCGGAGGTTCGCTGTTGCTGGCAGCGCTTGCACTGCTGCTGCTGGCGTTGCTGGCGCGTGGCCCGCGTCCCGCCTTGCGACCGAACCCGCCTGCGTCCACTACCAAGCGTTCGCTACAAGTAACGATGCTGTGCACTACTAAATGATGTCAAGAGTCGGATTAACAGTAAAGGTGATGCCAAGGTTTTTTTTATCTTTGTCGACAAAAAGAATCACGATCTGATCCGTATACCAAACTGGGAACTAATTGGGAAGGACAATCTTGGTGCTTCCAATTTCACCAGATCCTTCGTAATTCACCCAGTTTGCATATGCCTCTTAAGCCTGAAAGATTTTCTCCAGGAAGTGGACTCCTGATCACCAATATGAATAGTTATGTTAGTACCGTCGGTCGTGCCTGGGCGAGATGCCGGGTCGTACAGCGGCGCGCATGTAGCGATCCAGGTCGATAATGTCGGTGGCACCCGGCAGCCGCCCCGAACCCGACGACATGGACGAACGTGCGGACATGCCCGCTACCTTTGCCCGTTATACGCTACAAGTGACGGTATATGAATAAAAAATATAGTACTTAATAGACCAAAGACAACTTCGACTTGTTTGTTGAAACATTTGTCGCATATTGGATAATAGCTATCTATGAACTTCAATGCCAATAATTACATAAACAACTACTAACAAGTTTTTTATGTACACAAAGTAAAACTTCAATGGTTATTATATTTTCCTGACGTCGTATTATGATTAACAAATATTATTATATTGGACTTCATTCAACATTCTAAGGCTCCACTTTGTATTAACTTTCGGTTTGTCTCGAACTTAAAATGTAAACAAAACTGACATAACAGCAATAGGAAACCGTAACCACCTTTGTAAAGTAAAGCTGTTTCCAGTGACTGACCAATTTGTATTGTTTTGTTGACCTGCAGTCACGTGACAGGAGATGTGTCCTCAGCACGGGGCTCTGGTCTGCTGCGGCGAGTACGGCCATCGCTGATGCTGGGAACTCCTCATGCCGACAGCACCTGTCACTTGTCATATTGACGTGTGACATGTCAAACGTTTCTTTTTAAAAGTCAACTGTCAAAACTGCCGTAGGTCGTTATCAAGCATTGTCAATTTCAACATTTCACTCATCGATCAACAATCATTTGTTGTTTCTTGACGGATTCCATTTCATAATTTTGTCATTAGAGACATTTTTTGATATTAAATTTAAAGGGATTATGACGTCATGGTACTTGTTTTTAACATAATAAGTTTTTTAAGATTGGCTCGAGGAGTTTGTAATTTATGGCATTATTGTCGTATTTAGTTCCGCCAAAAAATGTACTCATGATGCGATCGACTTCTTTAGCACACTACTAATTAGTACTTTTGAATCTTGGGCCAAATAGGTTTGTCGCACTGTAAATTAAATATTCAGTCAATTTTATGGAGTATCCAATGGCTTATGCAACTCATGTTTTTACCTTTTTTAAACTCAAGTAAAGGGAGGACCAACTTCTTGTTACTTTGCTATGGAAATTTAAACAAAAATATACAGAATATCATTTGGCCTGCAATCAATTTTATTAATTTAAAATAATTAAAGAAAAATAATACAAATTTACATTGAAATTAATTCTTTTAATATTTGTAATTTTTACATGACGAAAATTATACAAAGAAATCATACTATACAAACATGGGTATATGGTTTTGGACGTTATAAAAATAATAAGGTACAAAATGGTAATTAAACAAACAATATGTCTGACAATAATTCATGGTCTATTTATTTATACTTTTACATACTCTTTGACATAGACACGTGGCGATGACGTCATCATATTCTAATGTAACCTAACCAAGAATATAATTACCTAAACTATGGGCGCCATTGTTTTACATAACTTACCGTGGGCTTCCGAGACCAAAAGTCCCATTTAAAACATTATTATCTCTGTTTTTTTTTTTAAGATAATGACAGGGATGACGATATGTTTCATATAAAAGATTTTAAGCTCAGAAACTAACGATAAATTTTTCCGTAATATAACAAGGATTTAATATTCCTGGTCAGGATTTACATTATACAAAGAATTTTAGTTCGAAAAACAATGTATTGTAACTATGTCTGCCTGCTTTAAAAGGCGGCAAGCAAAAGTAATTTGTTAATGTAGGTTTCGAATGTCGTGTTTTTTATTGACACATATCGTCTCTTCTATCAAAGACAATATAAAGTGTCAATGCAAATGTCATTGCAGTTGACACTCACAATATTATGACATGTTAATGTTACCACATTTTACGTACAATGTAAAATAAGAAATTTTGCATTGTTGAATTGCTTTCAGAAAAATAAATTTAGAACTATACTATTTGGTTAAGAGATCTCCAAATATTACAATTCAAGGACCAGCTTGAGTTGATAATGGAGTTATAAAAACTTTAGTACATTTGATTCTATATCTATTTAACCAAAATCATAATGTTTGGAATTTTTAATCCACGTTACTAAATTCAAAAGTTTAAATTTCTTCTTTTTTCTTAGATTTAATGGCTGCTAAAGTGTAAAAACTCCTTGAACAACCATTTATAAAGACAAGATTTTTAAAAGTTTTAATATGTTACTTGACATAACATAACACCAGTATTATTTTCAATAAAATGGTTCTCCTGAAAAAAATGTCTTACGTTTGTTTACGTAGGAAGACCCTGATCTAAAAATCATATTGAATTCTTGGCTATAAAATAATATAACAACGATATGTTAACAAACAACGATTACTAAAAATAAATACATATATATTTATTGAACAATTCCGTATTTTATAAATATTTAAAAAACTGGATTAAATAGCACTTGGAAAATAAAATTAAAGCTCTTTAGCATTTTTAAACAATTCCATGGATATTTGAAAAAAAAAAATATAAACAAAAAACAGACATAAAATCTGTAATCATAAAATTTTAATGATTTTGATTGTTTGTTCACATTTTCGCCAAATTGGCGAATTAATAATTTGATTATGATTATAATTGCACAGATCTAGTTGGATAAATAAAGCGTATCTATGTACTTGTATACATAGATATTTATGCTGTATGCATTGTATATAATCAGGGCTTACAAACTTGCGGGCCGTAAATATGACATTTAGGCATTTTTTAAAAATTAATTAATAATATTTTATTAATTGATTACTAAGCACTAAAAATTCTATTAAAGCTATTGAAGCGTTCTTTAAATTGTGATATTTTAATTTTAACACATCAAATTACAACTGCCGTAACACCTGCATCCAACAATAATTCCATCTCTTTCATTCTCTTTGAATAACAACGAGATACAAATATTACGACAATTAAAATTCACAATTTTTGCATATTAGGCATTACAATTTAAATATTGTAATATAAATTTATCGCCATAGTTTAGCAGCCCTGATCTTTTTCAATAATCTACATTTACTTGTATGGGCACCTTTACAAATATTTGGGCCAATAGTCCAACATAAAAGCTAACGCCAGTGCTATCACTAAGCCGCACGCTATTATCGCCCTTGTGTTGTTCAAGCTAAGGTCGCAAGTCGCGTGTCATCGGTTTGTTTAGCATTTGGCGTCGGCGTTACGTCACTGGCTGTTCGCTAGCTCGTCCATACGACATCTGGAATACACAAATTCATAAAATAATAGTCGATTAATTACCACACTGAGAGACGTTTAAAAGTCCACTAAGAGTTCCCTTTTGAGCAGTGGTTCCCAAACTTATTTTGTCTAGTGCCCACTTTGAGAATAAATATTTTTTAGCGCCCCCATATTTTCACATATTTAAAAACCACTATAACTTCAAAATAAATAAATTAATTATTGTGACCTATATATGTATATTAAGGGAGAATTCTAAACGAAACTTTTACTATAACCCGCAACTTGAGACCTGCAGCGCCCACAAGGGGGCGTTATCGCCCACTTTAGGAAAGACTGCTTTAGAGTAAAATTTTTCTCCTACCTTACAGCCATTTCCGCTACCTCTAGGCTCGGGTAGTCGAGCTCTTTGACAAGACACAGAACCGCAGACAGTAGATTCGAATTCTGGAAACAAGAAAAAAATGTGACTAATAAAAAAAATACAGAAATAACATATAAGTCATCATCTATGACATTGCAATTCCAACCTTAATACTATTAACATAAAGATAATAATCGAACATAGCACAAACAACATATAACATTGAGGATGTGAGGTCTCGCGTGGCATCGATGTATGAATGAGGTTTTACTGTATTCCACTACTAAGCTGTTGCCCGCGACTCCGTCCGCGCGGAATTAAGATAAGACTTACACTATGTTCTACATCTATACCAAATTTCATTAAGATCCATGCAGCCGTTCTGGAGATACTTTCACACATCCATCCATCCATCTAAACCTTCGCATTTATAATATTAGTAAGATTGATAACTCACTCTGGTGACAGGTCGCCGCGTGAATCCGCGGTGCTCTGCCATTACCGCGGAAGGATACTCCCTCTCTCTTCTCTCCCTCTCCGTTTCTCTTTCTCGCTCCCACTCGCGCGGTTGGTATGTTTCCGATCTGGAAGACAAAAAAGTGCATAATAAAAAAATAAAAATCTTGACTGTATCACTATGTTCATCATCAACCTGCCCTGATCCCTATTGAGGGTCGGAACAGTATGTTCTACTCCTCCATACATCTCTATCAGCCGTCATATCCGAATCTACCCCCTTCCTACGCATATCCACTTTCACACAGTCTTTTCATAATTTTCTTGGTCTTCCTCTACCTCTGTAGCCATCCACATTCAATCTCATTACTTTTTTGCTTATATCATCATCATCCCTCCTCATAACATATCCAAACCACGCTAATCTTTTACTCCTCAATTTCTCGATCATTGGCGCTACTTTCAAACTTCCTCTAACATACACATTTTTAACTTTATCCTTCCTTGTCACACCACACATCTTCTTTCATCAGAAACCTGAATTACTGTATCACTATGTTATTCTATATAATTCAAACTCTGTACAGTAGTTGTATAATCATAGATAAATCTCAATAACCAGAAGGTATATCGCTTTTCGTAACTTCATCGACAAAAAACATCAAAATTTGTTCGACATTTCTCGTTGTCGCACGATAGAGGTAAAGACTAATTCGCTGTAAAAATCAAGTACACATTTAGTCGATCTCGTTACGAATACTTTCTCGCAAGCATTCCTGCTAGGCCCTTAGGTCATATATTAATCGTGTCTTCATTTAAGCTATGTTTTCTCATATAAATCTCTTCTTATAAAGACTTAATTTTCTATACATTATGTACCTGTCAGAGGTTGAAGCCGCGCCTCCACAATGCCTCCATTCACCATTAGCAGCATATGTGTACTCCTGAACAAATCAATTTATAACTTAGTAAAAAACATATTTTCTTTATTAATAATTCAATATCACTTACAAAATTACGTGATAAATAGCACAATCAGCCACAAAATGTATGGAAAGTATGTATGAGTAATTGCCTTACTGAGAGTATTTTTAATGTCTCGCTAAGTGATTTTTTAATGACTCTGTGTGCAGTAATAATGTATGGATAAGATGTTTGTATGTATGTATTACCTTAACATTCTGAGCGGACACAGAATGCCTCAGTGATGCTGCGTCGGGAGATCGCGGGCGAGTGCGTGGCTGCAATACAAAGCTCTCGTGATGAATCTCGAATACAGCCAACATGTTTTTTAAAAACAAGCTTTTACGTGCAAATATAATTAGCAATGAATGTTATTTACATGATACTTTGATGACGTAATAACGCACACATTTGCGTGCACATACGTTGTTAAAACGCACACATTGAAAAGTAAACGTAAAGTTAGTTTAATTAAAATTGGCTCGTGGTGAATGTATAATATTGTAAAATAAATACTTATATTAATAGCGCATAACCGCGTGCCAATTTGTGTTAAACTATTCATATTTAAAGTACATTTTTTATAATATAAACTTTTATTAAATGAGAATCAGAATATCTTACTTCGTAATGTGAACTGGTCATTGCGGGGTGTTCGTATCTTTCATCAGGTTCAGGTGTGGGGGCACGTCGTGTCGGCGATAGGGGGCACGGCTGTAAACACAGTAAAACCCTCACTAATTATAAATACCTAACAAAGAATCATAAGTATTAATGTGATATTAAAATCTTTACTTAACGACTCTGTGTCACTAAACGACATTGAATAAATCAAAATAAAAATAGAAAACATTGATAGATGTAAGGAAGAGTTGCATTGCTAGACTAAACATGCAACATAAGTCAAACTCCGTCATTGTTAAAAGCTACAATATTATACAAAAGTATGAAAAGATTTAAAAGTACAATTTATCTGAAAAGAAGAATCTGAATAAAAATATCAACGTTAAATAAAAATCTTCTTATAAACTTTAGTATAAAACTAAACTAATTTCTTGAAACATATTTTAAAAACTAGTCGATAGCTGATGATAATGAATTATTATGGACCAAAACGAACCTGATGATTTTCAGAGCGCGGGGGCTCCGTTGCGGGCTCGGAGCCTCCATCGGGCGAGCCGTCGCTTCCCTGCGCCCCCACGTTAGTTGTTAATTTACATGTTAGCAAGGCACTGGCAACATTTAGCGCTGATTATTTTATAACTAGCAACCCACGATAGTTACATTCGCTCGGGAAGATTGAAAAATATTGAAATAAAGGTAATAAAATATAGTATATGTCACTCTCTGATAGTAGTGCTTTCTATTAGGGAAAGAATTAAAAAAATCGGTTCAGTAGTTTTTGAGTTTATACGGCACAAACAATTAGATATTTTCTACGCATATAAGTCCTGACTATAGTAGTTAGCAGTATTACAAACATTTTTAAAATATTAATAGTAAATAAAGGTTTATTTTAAACTGATATATAAACACGGCTAAATATTCACGTATATTCGTCCGGTGGCGGCACCGACTAGTTTCGAGCCCATCGCCGTGAGCGACGGGCCGCGTCCGCGAAATAATACCAGTACCGCTCATCCTGATTAATGGCCCCCGATGGGCTCGAAACTAGTCGGTGCCGCCACCGGACCAATATACGTGAGTGTTTAGCCGTGTTTATATATCAGTTTAGTATAATGTCTCACGAAAGTTTGAATAATTGAAAGGTTCATTTTGTTTTTAAAGCATTTTAAAAATTTTAGAGAAGATTATAATTACAAATTTTCATTGTAATTTTAAATCTTAGAAGAAAATATGACTATCGATCGATTATATGATATAATAAACATACATACATCACATTTAAATACATAGTTATTAATGTAGACAAAACAATTACATGCTATTTATTACAACATATATGAACATATTTCGCGCCATTAAAATTACCGACAGCATAAAAAGCACCCACCATGCAGATCACAACATAAAATAGCTTAAATAATAATAAACCTTATATTTAGCGTGATTCGGTCCATTTCTGACATTTTCTTTTTGGCACACCGGTTTCTTTAACATGAAATGATAATGCACTGTAATAGCGAAAATACAGAGAATTGACCAAAGTCATACTACTCGAACACGATATCATGAGACTATGACCCGATGACGTCACATTTTTAAGAAGCTTTTTAGCGGGAGAAGTTTAGCAATACTTTAGGGGCACTCATAATATTGTGTATGCATTAGAGTGTTTGCCGTTAAACTGATCGGCTCATGGAGCAATGGGACTCCTCTTTAGACCAATCGAATGGCAAAAAATCAAATTGAGACGACCGATCTATTGCCAAACCACCCATGCATTGATATACTGCAATCGATATGGATCTTTTATCCTTTATGGATATTCCATAACCAATTAACCAGTAGCATGTCTATATAATATAATAAGATGCATATAAGAACATATTTAAACTGAAAGATGTTTAGTAACAAACAAGTCGTACATACCTGTTCATGCCTTTGTGCCGGTCTGCCGTAGTAAGGCTCCGGTTCTCTGTCGGGACTCGACTCGCACGACCTCTGCCGTCTATATTGACCGTATGACTCCTGCTGTAACATGAAGAAGAATTAGAGTAGACCATTAGAAACGATAGATAAAAAAATAGGCTAGTTAGAATTTTATCGGACTTGAAGGACCAGTAACCTTGAGTCTGTAACTCTGTGAGGATAAAACATTATATTGAGATAGTTGTTTAGGAGATTTCAAAGTCTAAACATTAAACGTATCAATTTGATTGAAAATAATTCAATATTATTACTGATTTTGAGTAAAATAAAAAAGATTAATATCTCACCTGTTGTGGATATCCTTCATCATCAGAGTCAGGTATGTGGGTACCGCGTCTCATTGCTTCTTGTACCTAACAACAATATTTTTTTTATTTCTTGTGAGAGAATTGTCTGCACCAGATTACGTGCCTTCAGATAGAAGGATTGATTATGAATGTCAGCCTTAAAATTGAAAGCTAGATAAGTAAAATCCGACATGAAATCACCTGTCATACTAAAACTACTATCATTTTAAAGGCTATACTGTCTTTGGAACAAGGTTCGCTCGCTGAGAAAATCTTAGAAGAAGTATCACATGGAGTAATCTTACTAATAGTATAAATGAGAAAGTTTAGAGTTGGAAGATGTCTCTAGAGCGGATCAACGGATCTCGATGAAATTTGGTACAGATGTAGAACAAAGTCTGAAAGAACACATAGGTTTATTAATTTCTTTTCGCGCGGATGGATTCACTCATAATTAATTACACTATTAAATAACAAAATCATACCTCTTCAGGCTGTACAATTATGTTATCGAGCTTCTCTAAATTTGGTAGATTTCTAAGCACCGTCATCCTGTATCTGAAAATAGTAGCATGACATTAGAAATCTTTACTTTCTCAATAAAATTACTCAGTATGGCAACTTTTACAATACGGCAATAGCATTCTATTGATTGGCTCTGTAAACTGTATTACAAGGTTCAAAATTTATGGAGGCTCGAGATAAACGAGCGCATGTTATCGCACGTGGTTGCATGGGCCAACTTTCATTGGGTAAAGATACAAAGTCCTACAAAGGAGATGTTCCGTCTGGTGGTGCAAAAAGGTGTTATGCGGAGCGTCTAGTGCCAAATTCCAAGCCGTAATAAACTTTGTACATAACTGTATGTTTACTTACTCCGGATGTTGCGTGCAGGGGTTCTCATCTAGCCAGAGACTGGTGAGATCCGGTAAGTGCCTCAGATGTCTGATCTCTGCCAAATTGCGAATCTCATTCTTACGTATGTAGAGTTCGCGTAGCCGTCGACAACCAGCGAAGTCCCCAAGTGTACGGATTTTGTTTAAACTGTAAACATTAAAAATAGACATTTTCATATTTAACGTGCCTGCTTTATTTTTATCATTAAGGTGTCATAGTAAAATGATCCATCAATCTATCACATTAAGGCCTTTTAGAGTACATTTGTAAACTAAACTTTCGACATCTCTGTTTTTTTCAAAGATAATGAGAGGGATGACTATACTTTTATAAGAGTTTTTCGTCTGTGGAAACCCACAATTAAACAACTGGTCTTTCTAAAAGCATGTCAGTGTATCTAAAATTAAAGGTAAACACGGAAATGTTTTTTAAACATTACAATGGTTAGAAGACACGGTGCTGTTATAAGGAAGTAAAGTTTACAGTTCACAGACAATCGATTCAAACTGTAAACCGGTTTTTAAACTAATCGATTGTTTTGAATTTATTTTTCAATCAAAACATTAAATAGTGAAGGAAAAGTAATGAAAACTGTATAACTATCATCCAGAAGCAAACAAATGCCACTTCAGAATCATAGTAGACTTGTTACCTAGAGGTAGAAAAGCTGTGAGCTTTTACACCAACTAATTACAAGACAGCAATTCTTTCGTAGGTTAGATATTAAAAAAATTGATAGATCTGTCTAAGCAATGTATTATAGTGTGTATTATGTGATAGTAGATACTATATACAGAGCATGTTTGGAGGTTATCGATACATACAATTCGTGTACATAATGTAAAGTTATAAATCAATATTCCGTCTAGACTTGCTTTCAAATGGACGAGACATTACTAGCCGTGCGCTGGTTTGTGAGTCCTCCTCCCTTTGCAAAATGATGTACATATAATACATTTATTGCACCAACTATTTATGACTTTTTTTGTCAACCTTACCCACTATCGAAGAGTGACGTCACGAAGCTATCGGCAAAGAGTAAGTTTGAAAAACAAAAAACAACTAGATCGTTATTAGTTTGAAGTAAAATGTAAAAAATGTTGCAAATTTCGTAAAATGCACTAAATAAGTTTCTCAAGGTCTTGTATCTTGTATTCTCAAAGTAAGTCTATTGTTGTGATTTAAAAGATAATTTAGTAAGTGAATAACAAAGAAACAGTTTAAAATATTGATAGATTTTCAAAAAAAAATTACAAAGATCGAAAACAATTTTTGCGAAATAGAGGAATATAAAAGTTTAAGACAAGCTGTTATTTTGTGGATACCATGAGAAGTGAAGTTTAAGATAACAAGGTTATGCTTTGAAGACATTTTGTTACAAACTTTAGGGTTTGATTTTTGATGAACTATATCAGGGATGGCAAACCAATGGCACGCATGCCAATGATGGATGTCTGAAAATTGAACACGAATAATCTCTAAGTTCTAAGATGTTCGCAATGATCCCAAAGTCAAAATTATTTCATGACAAGTCTATGTCCACAATAAACATTCCTTTAGAAATGGCACATTGATACTTAAAGGTTCGCGACCCCTGAACTAGCATTAATAGGGATAGGATACCGTTGTGAATCAACCAACGTCGGAGTCTTGCACAACAAACGCGCTACCGACGCAGTTGGGTAAGGTGGGCCACGCTCTAATTGGGCACGGTCTTACAATGCCGTAATACAGGAAATTGGTCATTTTTTTATTTGTTTAATGTATTACCGTTGGTTTTCAGTGCCGAAACATTAATTACAAATAACATAGTATCATCCCTGTCATTGTTTTTATCAAAGAATACAATATCTTTATCATAAACTTATATAAAAACGACTAAACACTCAGGTATATTCGTCCGGTGGCGGCACCGACTAGTTTCGAGCCGATCGGGGGCCCTTCGTCAGGATGAGTGGGACTGGTATTATTTCGCGGACGCGGCCCGTCGTTACTCACTTTATACGTGAGTGTTTAACCGTTTTTATATAAGTTTATTATAATGTTTAACGAAAGTTTGAATAATTTAATATCTTTATCAATTTTCAAATCAAAAGATTATTTTAGATCAATCTGCCGTATAATAAAACTTATACTTATAGATTTTCAAAGTTAAAAGTTATTACTCACTTTAAAATTTTATTGATACAAACTTTCTAAAATATTTAAAATCTTAAAAATACTATTAACAAATCGGCACGTTATATTTTATTTGAGACTTTCTCTAAATCTAGACTATTAAATTCATCAAGAAAGAGTTTTATTCATTACATGTTATCACAATTAGCATATTGGGATAGACTTTTTAATGTATTTACGATAAATTTGTGAATATTAGTAAACTAGCAGTTGCCCGTGATTTCTTTCACATGAAGTTTAAAAAAAAATCCGCGCGTACGGAGTTGCGGACGATAAAATATCCATCTGGAAAGTGAAACAGATTAAAGTGGATTCGATGTTTATTCTCGAAGATGGTGTTACGCTCTCCACTCGAATCGGAATTATGCACGGCACCACGCTACCGGTACTAACTGTCCGGAAATAATTGTTCTTAAAATATTATAAATATTTCTTAAAATATGCTGTACTTGTTGACCCTTGTATATTTCGCATAGTATCAGAACCGGATTAAAACCTTTCAATGTCGGATCTACATGAAGGTCGATAACATTTTTCATGAATGCAGAAATATCAATATTTACGACCGTAAGAAGTATTAATTAAGTATACACGCGTTGTAATGTGTTGTGGGTACCGTTCAATCGGCCCGATGAAAATTTTTTATTCTTCTGAACTCAATCGGCCCCATGTAAAAAATTCCTATTAGGGTAATTGATCGGTAAGCCGATTGACCCATACATTTGACTCTGAAGTTTGAACACTGTTATATCAATTAGGATGACAATTAGAGTAGTTTAATTTCTACCAAGAGGGGGATTTCATTTTGGGAAAAAATAATTTTAATTCGACCTTAAACGTGCATCCCGTATAAATCTGTAAACAAGCTTATAAGATTTGATCGTAATCCAGGCGCGAAACCCTAGTGCATTGCATACGAATCACTATAGTGCAGCTGCAGTAATTAATTTTATAAATAGGCTTATCTCTTTCCAACTGGCGAGCGATTTCGCAACGAATACCTTGGCCACAACTAAAATAATGTTCGTGCCAGAGGTCTAATGTTAGTCCTCTTCCCAAACTTTTCTTATAAGTAAGAAGCACAGAAAGAGATTATTGCTCCTTCCTATGTGTGTTAAATGCGTTTTAAATATCCTCTGTCGATGAAAGGTAAGAAAATGCATCTGCAAGTGCAGATGTCTATATACACGGGACACTTCGCAATTTCGGAATCATCGAATTCAAATGACCGCTTGCTTATTTGCCTATAGAAAAGGTTATATGGAAATGTTAGATTTTCAAATTTTAGAGCACAAACTTTGCACAGACGGGCATTTGAAGTTTATAATTAGTAGCCAATCTAGAATCTGCAACCTTAACTTATAACAAATATATTGGCCACTTGAAAATTTACCACCTTCTACAATAAAAACGTCTAAATTCATTAAATCTAAATTAAGAAGCATAGCAAGTATTACATAAGGCAATTAAAAAAGACTAAAACGTGAGTTACCGCCTTTCGCCGACGGTCACAGCTGCGTACACTAATGCACGCTTGTTAGCTTTAACGAACGATTCATAATTCGTTATGAATCGTTCGTTAAAGTATAATTCAAATATCCTTTCTACGGGCGACAATGACCCGAGATTAAATAAAGCGACGCAGCGCATACATATCATCTTAACGTGGGTTTTCACTACCGAAACTTTCGTACAGAAACAATCATCATCATCAACCTGCCCTTATCCCTATCGAGGGTCGGCACTGTATGTACTACTCCTCCATACATCTCTCTCAGTCGTCATATCCGAATCTACCCCCTTCCTACGCATATCCTCTTTTACACAGTCATTCCATACTTGTGGAACAAAACAAATAGCATCAAAATATTAAACCTACAATAAAAGATAAACAAAAAATCGACTATAATTTGTGGCTCTACATTTTGCAACATTTTTTCCACATATGTAATTATATTTTAAGCACAGTGTAAACGTAGCTTTAATGACTCCGCCGCATCTTCATGATAAGTACTTTTTCGGACTTAAGATGGTTCCCTTTCACCGCTCTCGCTAATATTCGAAAGCCTGTCCATAGCAGCAAAATGCTTACTGAACATTACATTCACAATAGTCATTTTAGAGGTCATAGTGAAAACGAAATTTAGTTGTTAAAACTTTTATAGCAATTGTTTAATGTCATTTTAAATAGTACTTTTAAACACGACTCAAAATTGAAATTTAACTGCGAAAGTTGCCTATGCCAAAACAATATCACAAAAATATATTTATCTCTGTTTTTCTCAAAGAATCTGAGAAGGATGACACGAAAACTGTTGCAATGGTAAATATTAGAATCTGCAATCTGGTAACACTAACCGGTATGTGGCAACACTCTTCGCATATTCTCTGTATACAAATGGCGTCTTGTAAAATTATAATAAAATAGTTTCACCTCTCATTCCAATAATTCTATCGGGTCAAATATTTTCTTTATAAAGTATGATAGTATGTGAAAGGGTCAAGGCGAACTCGAGTAACATACAATAGTATGGATACAAGGACTAACATATAAATCCAATATAACTCTGTCGGTGAGAGACGCATTGCGGCAGACTCGGAACTCAAGTACTTGACCTTTAAACTAATATTAAAAACGTGGATATATCTAAACTCCTAAGGTAGTTTTATTTTAATCCGACGTTGAGAGAAGGTGTAAAAATTTCAAATCTTACTAATAAAAAAAACGAGAATTTTAAATGGATATATAGTTATTTGAAGGTATCTCCAGAATCGTTGCATAGATCTCTGAAATTCGGCATATATATAGAACTTAGCTTGGAAGAACACATAAGGTACTTATTAATTTTTTTTTTAATTCCGCGCGGACAAAGTCGCGAGCGACTGCTTTTAGTCCATACAAACATAATATCATCAACCTTTTTGTTCCTTACTCAAAATTAACCACCAATATACTAAGCAGTTCTTAACAAAGACTTTAACACGGAAATTAAGACAAATAGATAATTCCTAGTTGATGATAATTGCTTTAATTATACAATTAAATGAGTAATATATACACTCAGAATAAAGAATGTCACCGACTTGTTTATGTGGTTTTTATAAAAAAAACATTTGTTTATAAATATAGTAATTACAATAAAATATATATTAAATACTGCAGTATTAAATAAAGACTGGCCCAAAACTATTCATTATCTACATCGTACCTTTGTGCTTTAAAAACCAACGCTTAAATTAATTACTACATACTCACCTAAAAGCCAATACTTCGACGTTAGGCATCTGTCTCAGGAGGCTTACATCGCCCAGCTCTGCACCCCTGGTAACAAAAATAAAGATTACGTTAATCTTACTTCTTACTAATATTATAAATGTATATATTTCAATGTATGTATGGATGGTTGCTTGTTAGAAGGTATGTCCAGAACAGCTTAACATATCTCGATGAAATTTGGCATAGATGTCGAACATAGTCTATAAGAACACATAACCTACTAAAACAGTTTTTTTTTATTATAATTCCACGCGAACACAGTCGCGGGTGACGGCTTGTTGTACAATAACTTTATAAACAGCGCCGTCGGATCTCATTACTAGTCTAAATGATAGAATGAAATAAAATAATTGTTCAGAAATAGAGTCTGTCAAAAACCAGTACACTTTTTAGGCAACATCTGACAAAGTGAGAAGATCGTGATTCGTGACAGGCACGTCAAGGCCGTTCGTCTGAGCGTAGTATGTTTTGCTTACGATTCGATGCGCGTGCGCTGTAGGCGCTTTACGTGCGCGCCTGCAATTATGTCAGTACATGTAACTGTTGCGCGTGGTTAGTGACGGATGTATAGACAAATATAATAAAGAAAAGGAAGCTGTAGAACCATAAATATTGTACATGTCTAGAGCGTTTTCTTTCAAGTTTAGAGGATAAAGGCCACTATCCAATAATTAATGTCCTATGTATTCAAACTGTTCTCGTGTGTTGGTGGAAAATGTCGTTGGAATATTATCTACGGGATGCGGTTTATCTCACGTTTCATGCCTTCGTTAGACATGTTTTTTATCAAAAGGGACACGATCAGCAGGTCATTTACCTGTTGGTATATTCTATGCATACGATGTAATTTCGACCATGGTTTTTGTAATATAGAACTCCACTCTTATATTATATATGTCGTCTAGACTCACGTCGTGGTATAAAGTGGTAAGATGAAGAACCTTTCAATCTTAGGATAGTATCCACTACTTACGAATATATTCCTGGAAATACACAATAAAGGAAAGACATTTAGATTCAGTTTCTTAAAAAAACAAATTCTAAGTAAAGTTTGGATCTGGTACTAGTTTCATAAAAATCCAATCTTAAGCATCGAAAAACTATAGTAGTAGTTTTGTCCTTTTAACAAACAAAAAAAATGTTAATTAAAAACCCGTTTCATAACCTCGAGGTCGACGAACTGAATAAAACTTGTCACTCCTTTTAAATCTTAATGAATTGACAACTCCAACTATGCGCAAGATAGAATTAGAAATTGCCTAATGTGGTGTTTGCAAGTCTGTTTTATGTCATGGACGCAATTTATATAACGGATTTAGCTATCCGCTTGTGCTTAGAGAAATAAGGTGTGGACAAAATAAAATAAAATCTTAGTTTAAAAAATCGCGAAAAAATAAAAAAAGTTTCACGTTAAATAGTATCCTTATTGCTCATACTAAATCTACACTAAGGCTTCCTTTAATGACCAATTAAAGAATATGAGTAAGGTAATCGCTATTTATTACCATTTAAACAGTTGTTCTTTCGCCTTTATTAAAAAAATAATACAGGAAAAGTGTTGCCATCGTAAAATTGGATAGCGTGTATCCAATATGTCTAAGCACATTAAATATTTGCACAAGTACGCTACACCGCGTGCCGTCGTTATATTTAGTGCCGCCCACTCGTTTCAGACTTCAATAACAGAAATACGGTATTTAAATAAATGCTCGATAAAAATAAAATGGACATATGAAACTAACAAAATGGCCGACCTTCATATCACGATGTTGCATCCATTATGTTATTGCATATGTATTGTGTATATTACTATATATCTCTATATATATATAATTCTTCTGTGAGTGTGTATGTCACTGAACTTCTCTCGAACGACTGGACCGATTTTGATGAAATTTTTTGTGTGTGTGTTCAGGGGGATCTGGGAATGGTTTAGATTCACAATTTTCATCAAATATCAACTTCATATTAATTTATTCAAATTAAAGACGTGTAGACAGGACAACGTATGTCGGGTCCGCTAGTTATTATATTTTTTTATTTAATAAGATGAACACAAATATTAATAACCTACAAAGAGATAATACAGTCTTCCAACAGTTAACTAAATAATATTATTTCAGTGAAAGAAAAATCAAAAGACCTAATCATTTCTCTGACAATATTGAGCTAATAAAATTGTTTCCTATTTAAAAACGTTTAACCACCGGTTGCATAAAATCATAACTAGTTTGCCAGAAATAGACAAGATAAAAATATTCCCTTGATACTCATGACACCGTTCGGTTGCGAAAATGGCTATTTTTAATTGGAATAGTGTCAAGCGGGGGCAGTCACCCATGTGGTAAGCTATGAATGCTATATTAAAACGACACCTTTGTTTTTTTTTAATAACTAACTGTTTCCCGCGTCTCCGTCCGCGACGAATTAAAAAAAAGTAAAAAAAGTAGCCTATGTGTTCTTCCAGGATATATTCTATATCAATGCCATATTTCATCAAGATCCGTTCAGTGGGTATGGAGACACCTTCAAACAAACATCCTACCAATAAATGTTATCATTTTGATATTAGGAATTCAGGGACACTTTCATGTTGTACTCCTATATACCTATTAGTAGGTCTTCATAGTTGAAACTTACAAATGTAATGCAATATACCTTTGAACTAAATTATGCCAGGGTTAACAGTGTAATAGTTGGATATTCGATACAAAAATTAGGTCAAACGTACGAACTCGTAGAATATAAGAGGTCAACATTTCTTGGCTGCTTTTAAACTGTTTCCGTGTCGAAAATGGCAGTAAGACCTTTTTCTTATGTAAGCTAAAACTTGAATACCCCAATTTTGAGTGAAAAAATCAAGGATGATTATCGCGGGTATCACACGTCGCTGTAATTTTAAACACCTTTCTCTCTATTGCAGACGCCCCAAGAAGATTAGCACTTAAAATCAGGCGAGTCACTTAGCACATTTACTTCGTCAAGTGGAAAACTATATCTCAAATACAAGCAAATGTCTATTATTAAATACTAGTTGTGCCCGCGACTTCGTTCGCGTAAAACACTGTCTTTGAGCTACGCGCGGTAATGGACATTACTTTATTTTTCTAAAATAAACATAGCCTAAGCTACTCTTTATTACATCAGCTACCTGCCAACAAAAGTCCCGACAAAATCGGTCTAATAATTTCAGAGATTAGCCGGAACAAACAGACAGACAGACAAAAATTGTAAAAAATTTAGTTTGGCGTATGTACCGTAGTTATTTTTACATACATGTAATGTAAAACAGACACTTCAATTTTATTCATATGTATAGATAATTCCATAAACGTATACTATGATTAAGAACAGTAATAACCTTGAGACGTACCTTACTCATGTACTTAACATCTATGATTTCATCGCCTTGAGTATATAGAGTGGAAAATTCATTACATAAAATAAAACTCGCGAAAACCTTGCATACAGGAAGCTTTCAGATCACTATCTTTGTTTACATTAGATAAAATACATGAAAAATGAATTTGCTCATGTGCATCTAATTTTAAACGGACAAGTTGTATAACTGTAACTGACTCAGTAGAAATAAGCAAAAAGACATTTTTACTATGAATAAATCAGTGCCTGACCGCAATCCCTGATATATCTGAAATATGATGTACGTTAGTTTAGTAAGCACCAATGCACCCTTGAAGGTTCTCACTCCCACGTCACACTTGGATAGGAAAATTGAGTAATAAAAATTAATCTTTGCTTTCCAGACTAAATATCCTGTATAAGGCATATCCACATGACACAACCAAGCTAACATTATGTTTTATACGGTGATTTTGGTCTTAGAAACCCACGATAAAACTAGCAAAACTGCCATCAACGTTGACAAGTAAAAGTTGTTGATATTTTAATGACACACTTTTATTATTCATAACTAAAGATTAGTCTCGACGTCGAAATAATATAATAGAAAACGAAAGTTATCACCATACCGGTTTCCAAAACAGGGTGGACGGGGTCCACATGAGTTATGTAAATTTTAATCAAGCAAACGTAAAAGGTTATAGCATTATTTTAGACAAACATATTTGAGCTACAGGATACTTGCATTTACACTTATTTGAATCTAGTTCGACTAGAAAACATCGATACATAATATCTCTTATATAATATGTCAACGATAACACGTCTATTTTAAAAAGTATGTTAACTAGTAAAATGTATTTTTGTGCCATTCCAACTATAAAATCTACAATTTATACGGCTGCATGACTATATCACTCCCACCCCTATCATTGAATGCAATGAACTCAGGGCAACTAACCCTAATAGTACAAGACCGTGTCACCTGGTGACGTCACCAATTCAAACCCCAATAATCTTACATCGTGGCAAATAAATGGTATGATAATGTAGAAAATTTTATTTTTTACTTAATTTATAATCGACAAATACAAGGAAAATGAACTTTACTCACTGTTAATAAGTTTAAAAATGCCATTACAGGTAAAAAAAAAGTTAGAATGTCTTTCATTAGTAAATGGGCCACTCCTAGAATGTAGGCACGGTCTTACCACAAATGTACAAAGCTATAAATATTTTTAAACTAGCTGTCGCCCGCAACTCCGGCCGCGCAAAATAAAAAAAAACTTGTATAGTAGCCTATCTGTTCGTCTAGACTATATTCCACATTTATGACAAATTTCAGCGAGATCCATGAAGCCGTTCTAGAGATACCTTTAAAGAAACATCTATCCATCTATCTAAACTTTCGCATTTATAATATTAATAAGGAAGAAAAACGTTCACAAAGAACGATTTGCTTCCCAGTTAATTTAATCATAGGTCTGCCAACTAATGTCAATGAACAGTGAACTAGTTTACGTCTTCAAAGAGTTGCCAGTGTTATCATCATCAGCCCACTATACGTCCCCACCGAGGGGCTCGGAGCCTACTGGTTGACCCCTGTGCCATCAAGACTCTGCCAGTGAATAAAGTACTAAATAACCAACCAAAAGGTAAAAGCATGCTGTAGAGAACGTTTTAAT